TTGTAAAATTAGAATCTGAACAAAAAATAATTTGTCCAAAGTATTATTAATTTAAAGTAAGCGAGTGAATATTAATAAGAACTTTTTAAAGTTTGCATACGTAATAAAGAATTTAGATAACACGTAAACAAATAGAGGTGAATTTACTACGCTGCATTTTAGCTACTTATTATTTGCGTTTTGAAATGTTTGAATTTGAAACTTACGTGACCTATATATGATTGTGTACTTGGTATTTCATTGCTCAAATTGCTTTTTGTTGTGCTGGTTGTCTTACAAAGCAAAAAAAGAGAAAAAAAGTAGTTCATTAAGAAAATGAGCTATTTTAAAGAAAAGTAGTTAACTTTACCTCATTCAAATTTATTTCTTCACTAATACAGCACACGCAAGTAAGTATTAACTGACTTTGATTTTTGCTCTACTTTTTTAAATTCCATTTCTACAATTGCATTTACAATAATTTTTCCTCGTTACTGTTCAGTAAGAATACAAGCAGTATTTTTGAAGATTGAAGCATACAAAAGCATCACTTTTGTATGCAATCTATAAACTTGTATTTAGTTGCTTGGATAAGCAAAAAAGCGATCTCTTATTATCTAATGAAAACTCAATTTTTTAGCATTCAATATATTAATGCTAATTAAAGTATTTAAAACTGCAGTAAAGACTGACTCTGTATACAACTGATCTAATTGAGATAGAACTGTTTCAATAGTATAAAATATAGCGCGAAATAGTTAGATGACTGAAATGACTTACTTAACTATTGACTACTGACACAAAAAAGCTGGACAGTGAGCCAAAATTGTTCATGAAATGAAAGGATATTTTTGATATCGTTGCAGTAAACACAAGGAATAAATGATGGAAGTTAACTAAACGAAAGGTATTAAGCTAAAATTGTGCTAATGCTAAGTTCATTTTTTTTGAACAATATTTTTTGGTGGCAAAAAAAGTTGTTTATATTAAGGATGATTTGTGATCCTGCGAGTGTTGTTTGTCTCTCAGAAAAGAAGGAGTCTAGACTCGAAAGGTGTACTTTTTTGTTCACATCCCTTGTATTGCCATAAATTTATATTCATTTGTTCATTTTGTACGGAATTGAAGAGATGTTTTTGATTGCATTTTTTAAAACTATTTTTTGTTTTTTAATTCTGCATTTTCAGATCAGTAACTGTTTTCTTTCAAATAAACCTTTTCAATCACAGGTCAACTACACTACTCATTCATACTCTTACAATTTCTTTTATGGTTTACAAATCAGACTTTTAATAAAATTATCCAGCATCTTTTTCAATTGTTTTCGTATTTAATTTGCTCTAATACCGCGATTAAAAGCACTCAAAAATAAATCAGTGAAAAAACAAAAAAACTAAATTGTAATTGCATATTTCTGTTGACTTCATACAAATACATCATCAACAATTTTGGTCGAAAAATTCAAAAGTAATTCAAATTCAGTAGACTTCCTACAAACAATAATAAAAGGATAATGAATAACGAGAATAATATCATGATAATTCTGATTATTCACTTACAATGCTGATGTAAATTATTAAGATAAAAATGCATTAGATTTGTTAATTATTCAATTGCATAGCTTTTTCATTGCTTTATTCACTTTTCATTTTTTTGATTGCCGTGCTCATTCCAAATATATATGCGTGCATACTCCACAAATTTTATTCTTCTAATTTTTATCATATGAAAAATTAAACTCATAGCATTTCTTACTTTCATTTTCTCTTTTCAAGCATTCTTCCCTTAATTATCTTTTCTCATTTTCTTTATAGTCAAAAATCTTTACCATTTTTTTAAATTAATTTATTTCCAAATGCTTCAAAGCCATAAAATATTTCGGCTAATTTATTTCTGATCACGTGAAAATTTATGGGTTTCTAAAGTAGTGAGATCCAAATTTAGTGATTTTGTTGCATCTTTTTTTATTTTTTTATACTCATTATATTGAAATTATCAGCTTTCTCATTTCTCTTTTACGTATTCATTGATAAAAACAAATTACTCGTGTGACTTTCCACGAGTTGCTAACCTTGGTATAGTCACGTTTGTTGACTCTTGTAAATTACCACCTGATGCTACCTCTCTCTTCATATATTTATATACTTATGATTCATTGAGAAAAAATTTGTCCTAAATCTGAAAAGAATCCGTGAAGTTTTGTGCTGAAGTCAATTAAGAGACGTTAAAACCACTATTAATATACGATACAAAGCAAAATAATATTAATTAATTAATTATTATTCTTATTTACTAAAATAACATAAAGCCCTCAGTTTTTATCCGTTTCAAAAAAATTTTTAGACAGAAATGAAACGATTTCGCAACAACTAAAATAGACATTGCTGTCTTTCGTTATTATTAATTGCATGCCAATAGTCAAACAGACAAGAGAAGAAAGAATCCATTTAAGAAGCTGGAAAGATGTATATGAGTCATCATGTCAAATGAATGAATGAAGAATGAAGAATGAATGAAGGAGTAGACAGATAGATGAGACACCAAAATGCGTATAATAAAGGCCTTTTTACAGGTTAGGCGGGTGCAAAAGAATGTCTCGTATACCTTGTGTGAGGCCATTTTCGTAGGAGAGAAAAAAAAACGTAACATTGGAATAGCAATAATTACTATGCCTATTCTAACACTGTCCAATAGCTTTACTGAGGCATTTGGCAAGGCCTGTCAAAGGCCTCTTACTACACATTTTTAGTTGGAAAATTAAGCAAATATTACTATTTCGACTCTTAATTCGTTAATTGTTTGCTAGCAGGCCTTTTATACTCTTAGAAAAGAATCTTCCTATATTATTTACACAACTTTTCTTTCTCCACTTTCATATGGCCTTACCCATTTTAAACTAACTAACAAGTCACTAAGATAGTTGATATTAATATTCTCAATTCTTAAGTAGTTTAATATGAAGCCTTTACATTGTGTAGGATTACTTACTCTAAGGCACTTGTTGTTTTGCTATATAGTGCCTTATCTATTTAATTGCACTGCTTCGGCATGCATTATTGAGCTGGTTCTCAATACAAGAAATAAGTTTATTGCTAAGTAAGTGCTTTGCTTGCCCACTGTCTGCTTTCACTGTAAAATTTTTTACAGGTGACAGATTTCGTCACTTCCGGTTACGTGTACCTTTCTCTTCTTGTCTGGCGTAAATACGAGGATTAGTCATGTCTACTGACAACATTAGACGGACGGATGGACGGATTGATGGATGGATAGCATAGCAAGACAGGGCAGTAGTCTCCTCCCCACTGTCCTTTTTCCCTTTCTAGAAAGAAAGGTTCGTGCCGTCGTCGTCAATTGCAGCCGACGACTGACAACGTCTACTCCCATATGCATGTTGTCGCCTTTCCGTGTTCTTCTTCATTGCTTCTTGTCGCGGGCAGGATGCAGTCTGCTCGATGCTTGCTGTCCTAGCAAAATTTAATCTCATTCTAACGACACGTAATATCATTATTCATTTCACGTCATTTATCATTGCTTTTGTAATGACGAGCCTTCACCAGTTCATTCTTCATTTATGATGTCTATTATATGGTCATTAACTGTCATATTTATTTCTATTATCTCATGAAATACAGTAATAGATATGTTCTGATTTAGTTTAAAATTATTGTTTCTTACTATTCAGTCTCAATAGATGACTCAGTTCACTTTCATCTACCTTTACAAATTCATTGCTTTTGTAATGAAGAACCCTCACTAGTTCTGCTAGTGAAGAAACGTCGAAGAACAAAATAATCAAGACTTATCGCCTTATCGGGAAAATCTTTAAACATTCGCGCAACGTTTTTCGTCTAATTTCCCGCTGAAAGTCCAGTTACTCTGACATTTTCTATACTTATAAAAAGTGGTGATGATTCATGCAGTTTACTGAAGATTGGTAAGAGCTAGTAAAATATGCATATGGCGTACATTTGTGAATGATGGGAGTAGAAACAGCTTACTGTCGGGAACTCTCCAATTCAAGAAATAATTATAATTATAATAATGAAAATGAATGTAAGCTGTAAGGAAGCGTGAAATTACTTATTGCGTGTGAATGACTAATAGAATTTGAGTAGCATTTTGATAAATCATTTCTTGCATATTAAGCATATACGATTCACATATAGAACTTAAAGTTAACTCTGAAGTATGCGTAACTTTTCAAAAAATACACATTTGAAGAAGAGTGTAACAATAATACATATATATTCAAATATCTTTTATCCCCTCAAAAAGTATGCATAAAGAGAAAGTACAGTGTACTTTCTATTAAGTACACAAGTTCATTTTGTGCTCTTGCAAAAGTGATTGATGGAATGTAAAAAAAGCATTAGATTATGAGGGTATGTGGTAACCAGTTATAACTTGCTTCATTTCTAATCAGAATGCAATTGACAATCGTTCACATGTGTCAGTTCAATTATGTCTAGACTGCTTTTTACATATTGAAAAGAGCCAATATGCTTAGAAGGCACAGAAGAGTCATCATCAAATTGCTATGCGTATTTACTTATGTACTGCAGTTAGGTGTATTGCTATTATGAGGCGGGGATTGTAAAGATAAATAATCAAAATGCATTTTGTAGCGTTATTCAGCAGGCAGCTGAGTACAGCTATTACTTTATATACTGTAAAGTAAAACAAAGTGTAACTGTTTAGATGCATAATGGAATCAAAAAAAAAAATGCCTTAAAATTTACTATTTCCAATGAAGCGTAATAGTTATTAACGTAATAAAGTAAATGTAACTAAAATTTTTCATTTCTTCTTTTCAATATGATTTGTAGAATAATCTTAAAAGAGGCAAAAGATGACACTAAAGAAAGTGATGTGATATTGAGATAAAAACCATTTCGATGAGTTTCTGTGCATATAAACATGAACTTTTTATGAGAAAACATGAAGTGACGCGTTATGAGTAAAGTATAATTCTACAAAGTGATGGTAGTTACAATAAATATCAAAATTGCTCTGCAGAATAGATGGCACTGTGGAGGATAATGCTAATTTTTGTACTACTATGCTATTCATGCAGTATAGTGCACATGAAGTTGTTGACGAAGAATACGGTATTATTAGATGATGAATTGGACGCGTCTGAGTTGATTGATCGTTTTCTGGAGAGAGCGAAACAAAACACGCGACATCACAGGGCACACCGGTTGGTAAATTAAAAAAAGTTAAAAAAAATTGCTGGTGTGCGGTAAACTTCTCCTCTTTTATTAGAAAGTATTTGCTTTAAATCCATCTATACTTTTTGCGCCTCAATAGCTTTTACTTCTTGCTGCATTATTAAATGTTGCAGTATTACTGTAATTGTCAGTTTCTATCTTTAATATAAGAAGTATTTGTCAAATTTGCTTCTTTCATAGTTTCTTGCAGGTTGAAGGAGAAGGAATGTAGAAACTTTTTTGTCTTCCATCGACGCTATCTCAGACAAGTTTGACGAGCAATTTGTAATAATCGTTTAAGTGATAATAATTTAGATTGCCACGACGACATCGTTTGTCAATATCGACACAACAACTTACTCATATTGACGCATATGGACGAGAGTACGTCAAGTGTCGTAAGAGTATGCCTAACTTTCGCTCCGTGGTTCGTTTTTATCACTCTTTTTTTCAGTTTAGTCAGCAGGATATATTTATACATTGGATCAGTAGCCCTAATCCGCTCGCTAATTTTTAGACTTTAATATCAATTTCGAATCGTAATGATAATTTTTGCAGATTAAACGATGCTACCGACCTCCATCAGACGATATGAGAGTTGGTTGCTATGCTGTTTGGGACATGAAAAGTGAAGCATTAGTGCAAGATTGTTGGGTTCAGCAAGCAGTATGTATATTTTTTAATTTTGATAATTATTTAAAAATCTTTGGTCGAAGAGTCAGGTCTTGCTTATGAGTACTTATTACTTCGAGTTGCTTAATTGGATAAACAGCTGTTCGCTATTGTCTACAACAAAAATCCTTCATATGAACGCTGAAATATTGTTTTCTCTAATGTATCAGAGCAAGCACTGGCCAGGTAATCGATTTTGGATACTGAAGTATAACTTAATATTGGTTTTTAAAAAGCAAATTAATCTAATTTATTCATTTCAGATTTCTATGAATAATTGTGGACATCGAAAATGTATTGCTGACAAAAGCACATTTTGTTGTTGTTATGGTCATATCTGCAATAGTCGGCTTGAATTACTCGAAAATATGTCGAGTTCAGCAGAATATTCGTGATTATGTCTCAAATCTGATTTCTTGTTTCATAGCACCTGTATATAACATAATATTGTAACGAGTGTATTTTAGAATCTGTGTTTTGTATAATGAAATATGCACCACTTTTACTGATAGATTATTTTTACTGATAGATTAAATAATGAAAAAATATTTGCTTGAATGTATGAATATTATCTTGATGAACTTGAAGTAATAATGATCCCAGCTTTTCTTTTAGGTTTCTAAATTTTAATTTTTTAATATTAGTGCATAGGTAGACATGAAAATAACTTATTAGTGCAAAGCTTGAAAAATATATCTAATAGGGAAAATAATTCTTGTTAAAATTGCTCAAAATTTGTTTTAATTATTTTTGTAGAAAATTAGTCAAGTGTTAGCAGTCAGTGTAACGGTCAATGGATCCATCATTCTCCGTTTATTTCAAGAGCTTTTATTATGAATGACCTTAAGCTCTTCTGGCTTTGGTATCTTTTTTTAGCTAAGCATTTTATTTCTTTACCTCTTTTCTGTCAATTCAGAGCTCATTACCACGATTCCTTGCCTTTTTTTATTTCTATAATTTAATTGTCAACAAAAATTATCTTTAGTGAATGCGTACATACCATTCTACTTTTCAAACGATACATTATTTTATTGCTAATGATATTAACAGCAATATTTTATATTTATAGTATGCACTTATATAATAATAATAATAATAATATTAGTGAAGAAATTGTTTACTGACTGCGCGAATAATTTCATTCATATTTCTTTTTCAATCTTATTCTCTTCTCAGTTACTTTTCGCATACTTTCTCAACAATAATCAGAAAAAGTATTTATTAAGTAAAGTGACACGATGTTCTTGCTTAATTTTATAATTTCAATTTTATTGGATTCTCAAAAAAAACTTTCCATTGATAATATGCAATATTGACAATATAAATATATTAGTTGGTGATGAATGCTTGATCATTTATAAGCATTTAATGTATTTTTTTATTTTTGTGTAGAAGTGTGTGTTATCACTTAATGTATGCGTAGGCCTCTAATGTATTACTGTTAAACAGAATATTGACGCTGGTATGGAAGTATTATCACTTCAATCAACCTAAGAGTTTGTTGTTCATACTTTAGGTAAATTATTTTGTTTAGTATTTATTTATGTTTTTGCTTACATTTGCATACGACTGCGTAATACGTGTGTCGAATAAATAAATCTTAATAGTTTCTATAAAATAAAATAAAAACAAACAACTGCATCAATCAGTATCACATTTAAGCTATCCACACAAAATATATTGTAATGAATAGCATTTATGAGTTATTACTTCCAAGAATTTATCAGAATCACGCATTTTATTGAATTAGTAAATGACCAAGTTGACAAGGAATTTACAAGCTGCTCATATGATATCACTTTTAAGCTTTATATTTTAGATTCTGGCTAAATTTTTTTACTTCTGTAAAAGTTAGCTTGCAGAGCTTATTTATTATAGTGTTCAGTACTGAAAAATGCCTTGCTCGTCTTTATTCATAAGAAATTTATGTATTCATCAAATATGCATACGTTTATAAAAAGTAAAGTTTTACTTTTTACTTACGCTTACTACAAACTTCACTTAGAAAGCAAGTGGATATTTTAGTTCTATCATCAGAACATGGCAAAACTTTGTTCATATGCATTTGAAGGAAATAAAATTATGCATAACTAAGCTTTTATTCCAGAAGAAAAAGCCAAATTTTTGTTATTTACTTACATTTAGACTTTTAAATATGCTTTGGAAACTGCTTATGACTTTGATCATTTACTTGCCAGTCATTTAATTAACCGAAGTAATCTTTACCCAAATGCAGTTGTTTTTTCTTAATGTGACTTTTGAGAAATTAATTTTGACATAAAATGGAAAGGTTAGTAAAAGACTGAATTTTTCGTTTGATGATAATTTTTAGTGTAATATTGAACTTTTTGTTTATTTACCCATTAAGACTAATTTAAAAAATAATTTATTGAATGATCTAATTTAGTGTCTGCTATAATTCAGTTCACTTTCATTTGATTAAAAGCATATATGAACTTGAGCTACAAGTATTTATTTATGTATACAGTTTTGAGACAATAATAGATAGATAAATGGTTGTTAACCGAGCAAGAAATGCTAAAACTATATGTGAAAGAAAAAGCAAATTCGATATTTAGAACTGAGATCAAATTAATAATTCAGTTTACAGTATAAGTAATATTGAGCGGGTATTAAGACTGATTTATTGAAGTAAATTTGAGACTCAAAATTTTTCGATTACACATACCTTTTTCTAACTTAACAATAGAAAAATACTCATAAGTTATAGCTCGGGAAAATATCTTCAATATTATACTAGAGTCTATTTAAAATTCAAAATTAAGAGTGAAAAAAAATGATGCCGCCATAATTTTGCACGTTTTATTATCATCCTATTTGGTAGTATGCAAATTGCTTGAGATAATTTGTCGAGTAATTATTGTGATTAAAAATGCAATAAAGAGGGAATACGAAAAACTTTTAAATTGGAACTTTAGGGTAGAAATACCGGTATTTTACTTTATTTTTACACCAAAACCCACAAATGTTATGCCGTATTTTCCGATTCGGTGGTACTCAAAACAAAAGACTATCACTGCCATGTTGCCCATACTACTACTACTACTACTACTACTATTACTACCTCTACAACTACTGTGACTAAAAGTTATAATAATGTTAATAATAATGATTGTTATAATAAACAAGCAGATAATTAATAATATTGATAATGATAAAAGAAATAAGCTTGAAAATGTTTAACGAACATAATATTGAACTTCTCAATGCCTATTTTTCATGCTTTGCAAATTCAATCTATCATTCTCGTTTTGAAGTACGGATGCGTTTTGGTAATTAATCATGATATCACATTGAATTCCCAAATATTATTAAACACCTATTTATACTATAATCTAATACCATATGATCAGGTAAAACTAATTATAAGAAATGCGGTCTATCCATTTCTTAAAATTATTCCATTTCTTTGCATTTATCTTTGATAACTATTTATACTTCATGATAATATTTTTGTAATTTTTTTTGAATATTACATGAGCTTTGCCAGTACAAATGAAATGATTGCTTAACATTAAGTTAGCACATCACTACTATATTAATAGAAAGAAGGAAAAAAGGCGAAATAATTATCAAACAGATTGATCGAAAAACGTAAAATTGAACGTTTATGTCTACCATTTCTATATAGTGAACTTGAAGAGCTAATTTCTTGCATTCTTTAGCAGTCTTTAATAAATAAACTGCAAAATTATAATTTGCAAATATTAATTGTTAACTGGAGAATCAACTTTTGACTACCATACTGTCCAGTGATTTCAATTTTTAACTCGTTCCAGTACACTTTTACACTTTCCCAAATTGAATCGTAAGAATATATTTTCCCGCAAGTAATCATTTTCAGATCAAATGATTTTGTTGCATAAACTTCTCAAATATTATTATTTCTATTACATATTAAGGAAGATTGAATAAAAAAGCAGTCTCACACAAGAAGTGATAAATTCAAAGTGTACAATGTTATGAAGGTAACTTCAGCTTCCATTTCCTCCTATTTTTTAGTTTTATTTCTATTTCATCTGAAGCAAAAAAAGACAGGAAAAATACAATGCTAACATAGTATTATATTTGACTGTTCCTGTTTTCACATGAAATTTGCTTATAATAGGATAGAAAATGTCTCTTCTATAAATTCAGATGACATACGGCATTCCGAGTTCGTCATACTTTGTGCACACCATACTTGACTCTCTAATTTTGCGCACCATACAGTTCTGAATGCTGCACATTTATACAATGAAAACAACCGTTGCTGCGCATATTACCATAATTTTAAGTGCTTAACGTAGAAAAACACTAAAGTTTATTTCTCAGGTCTTTAAAACAAATGAAATCCTACAGAAAAATAAGTAAAAATTTAAATTTTAAAAAAGTTGATAAAGAAAATGGCAGCTGAACAGTAATTAGAAATACATTGAACAGCTGAATAGTCCTGTCTGGAAGTTCCTAGAAACAAACTACGTCATCTCAAAATGCCAGAAAAATGTAGACGATAATTAATTAATTAATAGTCCATAATTAGAGTACCTTTTACTCTCACTTCTGTGCTTACTTACTTCACAATCTGTTTCTCTTCTTTCATTTCTTCAATGGCAAACAAAAAATAATAACGGATGTCTTCTATTACCATCTCATCAGTCATTTCTTTACAATAAAATTTAAAAAATATGTTGAAGTTGAAGAAAAAAAATAAAGGAGTAAACTGTAATTTAATTAATTTAAATCATGTTTACAAATTATATACTGAAAAACTATATCCGTGTACATTAGTCATGAAGTAGAAAGCAAGAATTTTTGAATCAAATAAAATGTATTGAAAATGTAGCAGTGAAAAATTCTAAATATCTAGCAAATAATTAGACTTGTAATAATCCTCTCGTGGTATTGACATTGTCCATATATTACAGAGACATTCACAAATAAATGAATATCTCATAAAGCATCAATACAATATGAATACATAATAGCAATCCAAGAGAGCAATAAACATATCTGGAAGAATGATATGATACATAAGCATACTTAAAATGATAATACACATACTTAAATCACACATAAATAGATAATAAATCAAACTATAATCATACAAACTTGCTTAAAATTCGTCTAACAAAGTTCTAAAGAGCTTGATTACAAATCAATAATTAAAAAAACAAACTAGAACACTCTTGATGATTCAGAACATTCCTCAACAACGATAATGATATCTTCATAAAATGATGGATGATTTTAAACTTTTTATTTTTTTCCTTGAATACATTTTTTCAAATGGAGAAATAATCTGAATTGATCAGACAAGCAAAATAAAGATACGATGATTTTTGATAGAGTTTTTACTTTCCCTCACAAAATAATTAAACAAACGAACGAGACAACATCTGATAACGTGCAATTTCAACTAATGCCTTTTGAATTCTCTTAATAAGTTCTTCGCCTTCAACTACTGTTTGTTCCAGTTCGCGAGCTGCCTAAATATATTACCGGTTGATCTGTATAGTATGCCAAAAAAATAAACAATTTGAAAAAATTTTTGCCGTATGTGCAAAAAATTTTTGCAGCCAAAATAAAAGGAAAACAATCTGTGAAGGAAAATTTTACAGTAAAATATTTTTTTTTTCAGAAAGGTATTTACTGTTGAGTAACTGAAACATAACCAAGATCAAAATACTTAAGTACTGAGTGATTCCTTGTTTCTATACTTGAAAGAAGAAAAAATAATACGAAAATTACTCTAATCCGCTGTTCATCCATATTCAGCAAAGCTGAATCAATTTCAGCATTACTAGCAGCGGGTTCGTCTATTGGTAAAGAATCTATCAGAATTTCGATGTCTTTAGCCGTATGTGCAATTGTGGTAGCAAAGATTTCGCAGTTTTTCTCTTCTTCTAAAGCCTGAAATAAATCTACTAATCTTGAATCTCAATTTTACTCGTCTATATTATTACTAAACTTTGAAATTGAAATTAAATTACAAAAACAGACTTTAGATGGCCCAGTGAAGTCACATGAAGGAGCTGTTAAGCGCAAAACTCCTATTGAATTGCACATTAAATTCGCTAATTCATTAACCAAATCTTGCAATTGTGTCAGTCGATCTGACATAGCTACTGAATATGATGCTGAAATACACTTGAATGCGATACCTTAAATATGTTGATTTATTTGACAGAATCATCAATAACCAATTAAAAAATGATGTATAATAAGGGATGATCAAACATCAAGCAGACACAAAACACCCAAAATTTAAAATTTAAAAAAGCTGTGTTTCATAGGCACATTCATAGGCATTCATGGAGACAAACAACCATTAGAAATGTGATACTTTACTATACATTAAATTTAATCCATTTTATTTTTGGATTTTGCAAACACTTGAATTACTTACGATTCGATACACAATTTATTGAAATATATGCGAGATAAAGAGAAATAACGTAACACAAATGGTGAATAAGTCTGCACTATTTATAAACATGAGCAAAATTTTGAAAAGTTTAGCTTCTTGATTGTATAAAAATGAAAGTAATGAAAAGACTGCAACTTTTATATTAATAATACAGAAATCTGAAATACTCAAAACATCTAATAATATTGGTAAATCACAGTTATGAACATCAAAAGAATAAAATCAAAACGAAGAAGAAAATGATGGAAAACATTTTTAAACTTTCAATATTTATATTTGGTTGAATAATCTTTTGGTGATACTACAAGTCCACGGCCCTTACGAGCTCCTCTGTACACTGTTTCTAAAATATCAATTAATTCTTGGCCATCAGTGATAGGCCAGTTGATTTTGTTGTTATTACCAGTGCCTAAAACAATTGGGATGATTATAAATTCACTAAAAACAAAATATAAATTTAAAGTATACTATGTTCATCAAACTAATTTATCCAAATGAATACTACGCCTAACAGCAATTCCAAAAGCTGGGTTACAAATCTATTGCGTTAAAACAAATTTCATTAATCAACAAAAAGAATATGAAATTACCATATGTCCCTTAAATTACTTTATTTATTTCCAGCAATAACTGAAGTTAAACGGTGGATTTGCTGACAACTATTTACTAAAAAAGGATATAAAAAGTCAATCAGTAAAAATAAGTAGATCAGTTTTAATTTGGTCATTAATATCAAAAACTCACCCAAGTCAACCATAATGTGTTTATTGCGAAAAAAGAACATGACAGTGCAAGGATCATACAACTCATACATTTTATTGAAATCAGGAACTTCAGTTGTGTCCACCAAATATATTACGGCAAAATTTTTCACTTTATTTGCAATTTTATACAACGTCTACAAATCAAAACATTTGATTAAAGTTCTGATATTTTGAAGAAGAAAATAATTTACATGTATGCATAAAAATTATTCATCCTTTGTGATAAAAACGTTGAAAATATAAAAATGGAAACTGCAATCAAAGGCTGACCTGATAATCAAAATACCTGATTTAATTTTCAAGTCAGCTTTTTGGTCACTTCGAAAAGTCATGTTTAAAATTCACTGAATTCATAGACGAAGAAATTTTATGTTAAGCGAGTAAGAATGATTTACTGCAAAAATTTCATTTCAATTTTACAATTAAACATCTGAACAACTAATATTTTCAACATATTTTCAACATTTCAAAAGTACCAAAGGTACTAACCTCATCCATTCGCATACAACTCGGATCCCAGTCATGACCGAAGCGAATAAGCACAACACGATCTTCTTCTGCTAATATCGCTTGATCTACTTGCCATCCATTGCTTAAGTGAGGTAGCATATACGACATCTTTCTTACGCTTATTAAGTTGTAATTTAAAGTACAATAAAAATCTGAAAGTTAACGAAAAACACAACATAATCTTAAGTATGATTGACATAAACAACGTAAAGTTTTAAAAATACCACATCCACGAGAAAATAAAAAAAACAGAAGTATAGTATGATATAAAACAGAATAAAATTAAAAGAATAATTATAAATACATATAGAATGTGGAAGGTAACCAAGCAATAAACATGACAAAAGTTAAAATAATGAGCTAAATAAAACACAAATGAGTTCCCATTGAAAAACATATTTAGTATTTACATGCTCTACTTAATACATAAACGATATGCAAATTTTTTTAACGCATTTCATTCTACTCAAAAATTCATGCGGCCGATCCGCTTTTTACCCATACACAAAAAGGATCAAATTTGGAAGTCGATAATTGCATCAAAATGCCTGTTTCTTGAAAATTGCCTCTTTATCAAAATTGCGCTTTGTAGTTTCTAATAATTATTGTCATTTTTGGAGTAATATTGCCAGCATGAAAATGAATATTTGTAAAATTCAAATGATTAATTGTTGCAAATTGTAATAGAAAGTCAATTGAGAAAATTGAGAAAATACGTCAAATATAAACGTGAAGCACCCATTTTTGCGTGAAAGTATTTATTTCTTAAGAATAAAGTAGTATATTACAATTAGACAAGACTATAGCAAAACAAGTCTTGAATTTGGCTTTTTTTAAAGAAAAAAATATGTGCTAATTTTTTTATTATCGTCAAGTTTTGCTGCTTTTTCAATATTTTGCTTCTGCGGATTTTCTTCAGGAGTTAGTATATGTAGAAACTAAGAAAATATTTCTAGAAAAAGTGTTAAAATCGGAATCTTCTTATTCACACGTGTATAACTTGCTTATACCATTACTGATCCTTGTATTTTTATAGTAAAAATAAAAATAAAAATAAATGTAATGTAAGAAATTGCAAGTATTTGTTGTAGTTTTTGCGCTAAAATTTTGTAATGTTTTTATAACATTCTTATATCTGTGATCGATGATTATCCGCTTGGAAAATTGCATTATTCGTTCCATTTAATGATCTTATTTTATTTGCAGTCTCCAGTATTTGGGCCGAAATCGTTGGTAATCAAGGAGTAATATGCACATTCGAGAGTAATTTTTAATTTAATATTTAGTAGATATTCAGTATGCGACTTCAGAATTTTTCTTTTTTTTGTGAGAGAAATTACGTAAAACATTTTGGTAGGATGCCTAAAAAAGTTGTTTATAATTTTTGTTTTAGATTAAGCATTTGTTTTATTATTGTTGCTGATTTGATTTTTAATCATTTTAAGACATTACGTAAATACATCATAAATTAGAAAAGATTGGAATACAATCTAAGGTTGCAAGTACTGAAATTTGGAATTTTGTTTTTTTACTCTTCATAAATCAGATATATCTTTGTTTTGATTTGTACAATCTTTTCCAGAATAAAAAATTAGTATGAACCTTTTAACAGATAAAAATGTCATCAAGGTATTACATTGTGAAACCCGATGAAGTTATTCCTTGGAGGGAACGTTTATCGAAACTGCATGCTCTTACTTACGAACAACTTTTGCAATTAATTTCACCGAATGAAGTGGCTGTTGAATTTGCTGCAAGATATAATTTGATATCAAATTCGATGCATTGTAAACGTTGTGGGCAAATGATGCTTCTTTGGAGCAGAAATGGTCTTGATGGTTTGCAGGTAAGTTCAGAAATTAAGCAGAAATAAGTTTCATTACAGAAAGGTCTTCTCTTTCCTTTAAATACTGCCTTTATGATTAAAGTAAAAGCTGAATGCATTAAAAGAAAATTCATATCACAGCTTAGTTGGGGAGTATTTTCACTTGAAGTTTCGCACATCTTACTCCTAATATTAGTAATGAAAATGAGTAAAAGTTGATTAAGAAAATATGCTTTGTGAAAAAATGCTTTAATTGATCGTAAAGTATAACTTTCTCAAATAACTTCATTTTTTTCTTTTTTTAATGTAGTAAACTTATCATAAACTTCTCAAATTCATTTGTACCAGAGAAATCAGACAGCATAATATGGCAGTAATTTCGAATGCTCTGTTTCAGTCAAGTTTCCTTTTTTTGAGTACTGTATATATGTAACACATTTTGGTTAGTTTGAAAATTATGCTGTTTTAGTTGCCAAGTGGAAGAATAAAAACTGTTGTAAAATGCAAAAGAGATAAAAAAATAAATTTTTTGTTTGCTGCCAGTATTAAATTTTTCAACTTTTAGTGGAGATGTATGCAAGTGGTTACAAAACAAGAGCGAAAAAATGGCAGAAAGCGAAATTATTGTTCGTCTCTGTCCATACGCCATAGAAGCATATTCCACGGGCATCACTTGTCTATAGCTGATATTATTGAATTTATGTATTTATGGTCACAAAATTATAAATTACATGAAATTCGTCTTCACACTCATTTCAGCAGCGAAATGTCTGTTGCTTGGGCAGACTATATGAGACAAATTGCATCTGGTTTTGTTGAAGTGAGTCAAACACCGATTGGTGGCCGTGGTAAGCATTGTGTAACAATTCGTAGTTCAGTATAAACTGCTATAAAGTCAATAAAAGTTGATGTAATGAATGGTTTCAAGTATTGTGAGATGTTATTCAGAATATTCTATGAATACAAGCTTTTAAGGTATGGTTGTGGAAATTGGAAGGCTGATTTTATACAAGACAAGAATTGGTGAGCAGCATCCATATTTGATTGGCATGGTAGAACGAGAAACAGAAAATTGTATAATAATTGCTCTTCGAAAATATACATCAGAAGACTTGAAAAAAAGCGTGAAACAGTGGATTCTGCCAGACACAATTTTGATTTCTGATGAAGGAACATATTGTGATGGTTTGAGTGAGTTAGATTATACTACTTTTATAACACAAACGTATATTGAAAGATTTGAGTTTGTTGAGGGGAAAAAACTTAGTGTAAATAATATCTTATTACAGAATATTTGTAATGAAGCAAAGGCAAAATTTTTAGCAATGAATGGAACATGTAAAGCTCATTTCGAAGGTTACATTAGGGAGTTTTTATTTCGCAAAACCTATCAGAATGGGAATGAGTTTGGAGGTATTATTTTGTGGGCTCCTTTGCTGCATGTTCCTTAGTACCTGGCAGGTTTATATATTTCATAAAATTGCAATAAGTTGGTGTGTATATTACTCAAGATATAAAGTCAATTCAGTTCCCAAATCCAAGTTATCAAAAGCTTGTACATCATAATTTGGAGCAGCCGGTTCGGCCGTTCTTAATCACATCATAATTTGTCCTTTTCTTTATTCGTGATTCCTCACAATTTTTTAGAATTACTAGCAGCGTGCTTTAGGAAACAAACATAAATTTCTCCGCAATAAATTTATTTTGAATGCCGACGTTGTAGTTGAGAACATCTGATGTTCCTTTTCACTGTACATTTTGTGTCGCTATTTTTATTCTTGAATAAGAAGGCTTAAAACCTCCAATTCGACATGTCCGCCTGCTTCAGTCCATGAAGTTTGTTCATCCGACTACGTTTTTTTTAAATAGGTCGCATACTTTGCAGTCTTACCTTACGATACAAGAAAACGAATAAAGTTTGCCGAAATGAACCCACTGTTAACTTCTTCTCTCAGCTGTGGTAACAGTGATTACAGGACGTTTGCAATACTCGCTAAAGAAAAGCCCTTTCTCAGAAATGTTTGCCCTTTCTCTCGTGTTTCGACCCTACGTTATGACCTCTTTCTATTATGGCTAAAATACTGCTAATCGTTCAAAATTTCTGGATCTCGTCTGGTTGCTCGAAAAACCTATGGAATTCAGGGAATGGGTATTTCCATCTATTCTCATGCCCATTATAGAAAAAAGGCCACCAACAAAATACCTCTTATTTATCAAAATCTACTTGTGCTTGGTTGATTTTCATTCGAATACAGATGAATACTGTAGTCAAAATGTGCACTCAGTATAAGGATGTGAGCTGTCATAGTGGCTTCTTCGTAGCTCGTGCCTTCTTCAAATAATATTTAAACAATGGAACCATTACTGCATGTAACACAAAACAACAATTGCTTGTCAGCAAAAATAACTGACCAAGACAGTGATTACTGGAAGATCTATTCGAAATCAAGATTTTAGATACTGAAATGCGATAAATATAGGTTATGCTGCACATAAAACTGGCAATGACACTAGTAACAAATTACTTAAAGTTTCATATACCTGTATTAAAATAATATAGGAACAAGGAACAATAATAAATCAAGTTTCTGAAACCAATACATTGAATCGATAATATTTCTCTGGCTTTCGCAACAGTGAATATATTACCTTACAGCTGAACAATAAGAAAACAAAAATATTTTCCTACGGAGGGGGGCTGCCAAAGCTACAGCTCTGTTTTTCCTAGAATTTCTTCGTCTAAATCAATGTCTGAAACATCGATTTCCTCGTCAACAAGCATTTCACCATCTTTACCATCCCATGGATCAACAGTTGAGATTTTAGGGAATTCTGCACCTCTTATTGGTACAGTCTGACCTTTCCCATAAGAAAGATCTCTCAAAAATTCATTGATTCCAGTAACACCAAAAGAACCCTAAAATTTTCTCTTATCAATAATTATCAAATCTGAAGTAATTGAGTTTCCAATATGCTTTCCCTAAAAAAACTTCTGACAATCAAATACACAAAACAAAAATCTACTACGCTGCTATAGTTGAAAAAAAAAACTGAAACATGCTTTCAACATCGAGAATTTCATTTTGCGGTAGTTCAGAGCAGCCAAAGCTGGATACCCAAAACCTCCCATTTCGAATGCCTCTTCCAATGCCACTTGTTTGCCTGCTTCAGTCCAAATCCAACCCCACATATTTCGTTTAAATTTCTCGGCTGATTCCTTTAACACCTAAAAAAAGGCTGATTATTTCTGCTAATGTCTGCAATGCAACTACCAATGAGATACAATCATTCCAGATTTATTCTTTACAACATAAACTTTGCCAAGTAAGTATCCAAAAAGTACTTTCAAGTAATCGTTTCGACATTTACTTTGACAATCCAAAATATGGGGAAGAACAGCAAATATACAAAGCTGCTTTTCTTTGCACTCCTTCTCAACTTTTTCTTGTGAAACTGCTTCAACAACTTCTGGTGGAGGCATATTATCAAGAGCCTGAAAAAATTTGAATCAAATATTTATTAACAAATGAATGAATGAAAACTTCCTCCACATACTTCAGTATATTGAGATTAAAGCTTCAAAAGATGGTAGCAATTGATCATTCCAATAACATTAGACAAAATTCCTGTTTAAAATGTTACTGTAAAGTTAGATAGCTTACTTTTTTCAATGCAAAATTTACAAGATCATCACTGGTTCGTCCACCACTGTAATCCACGGCATCTTTAACGCTTGAACCTGGTGCAAAATACTTAATTGTTGGATAACCCTTGATATCAAAAAGTGATGCCATTTTTTGATTTACCGTTGCATCTAAGGCACCAAGCTAAAAATGTATCAAAATCAAAAAATTCCAACTTCACGACGCGTGTTCTATTACGTCTTTCAAATTTCAAACGTATCTAAGACAAAGTAACCAGGTATTAATTCTGACAACTCTAAACTGAAATAATTTTACCTTCACTTTACCAGCAAGTTCCGTAGCGGCTTTTTCCCATTCTGGTTTTAAAGCTTTACAATGTCCACACCAAGGTGCGAAGAATTCAACAAGCCAAATGTCTTCACTGTAAAGTACTAGTTTTTCAAAATTAGCATCAGTCAACTCAATAACATCTTTACTACTTCCTCCCTCCTTTCGACCAGATCCACCTAGCTTTTTATCTAAAGACTTTTTAAGTTCATCCATCAACGAATTGGTCATATCCCGCGCTGTTCGAGAACCTTAAAAAATTAGCAAATATATAACAATCTACAATCAACAACACAGAAAGATTAGGTAAAGAAAAGTACAATTATCTTTAATAATAGACTTGTTCAAGTTTATTTTTACTAGTTTTACTTTCTTCAAAATACTACACGATTATTATTATTTAAAATAAACAAGGCAAGATCTAAAAGAAAACCTTGATAAGTTGTGAACTGTTTTTTATTTTCACCAAATATTATAATCGTAGGAAAGCCTTGTACGCTGTATGGGGCACCTAATGATTCATATTTAGTCATATCCACAGCACCAACTTCAAAAATTCCCTTTACGGCATTAGCCAACTTATTGTATTCTGGAGCTAATTGCTGGCAATGACCACACCTACAAAAAATTTGTATTCCAGTTATTTTGGGAAGAAATTAACAAAAACACTAAAATGATTTCAAATCAAAAATAAAAAATGTTTAAAACGAACATACCATGGAGCGAAGAACTCTACAATCCAAATTTTGTTGCTATTCAGAACTTTATTATTGAAATTTGAAGACGTTAATTCGACTACATTAGGGTTACTTTCATAAAAAGCGTTTAACGACCCAACCAAAACCACTGAAATGACTAGTTTCACCATTAGATTTAAGTTTAGTAAGAAGCCATTAGCAAGAAAATTTAATAATTCATTTTTCACATCACTGCAATATATTCCAAAACAAAAAAGCAAACAAACACGAGTTACTGAATTAATGAAAATCTCAGATAAAAAGATTTTCTATAAAGTGACATACCTAAGAAGAATAGCAAAGATATCATGACTAACGTGAAGTCACTCGCACCTTCTTCTTACTTTATACCTCAAGTGCAGAGGGTGTTGACAACGACCACTTTTTCGACTTACGTGGAAAAGCTCGATTGGTTAGAAAAAGAGAATGCAACGTCACATTTCACTCGTCTCATAGCGAGACTTTTCATTTCAAATAATTTAGTTATTCATTTTAAACCAAATATCAACGTGTAAGAATGCAATTGAGGTGAATTGTATGGTTTGAATAATATTTCAGTTTACATTCACAGTATAAATTGGCATTCACAGTGGAAATCTGCGTTTGTACAATTAAATTGTACAAAAATGTTTTGCTACTTTATTGTTTGAACTTTTGGTTAGAATATTAATCAAAAAATTCATCATACTATGCAGGTCATTCCTGATGATTGCTTAATATTGGATTAGTTTTTTTAATAACAAACTTAACTGTAAAAATTCGTCGTAGGTTATTCCATAGTATTTTATTTATATGTGACTTGCATTTGATGAAAGTGAAAGTGAAAGTGAGATGGTAATTTCATAAAGAGCTATACTTGTAGTAAAAATTTGTACTAAAGGTCATTTCAAAAATGTTGTCCTTCACATTACGTAAAGATCAGATCAAATAATTGAAAGCTGTTTGTTGTTCTTTGTAGGAATGTCTTATGTGGTGCTATTTTTTGTATGACAGAAGTTACAGTTACTTTTTAAGCAATTGTTTTGTAAATTAACACTGTTATTTAGCAAAAAATATTTTTTCCTTATAATTTATTAATAATGAGCTTTACGCAACACTTGCACGTCTATAGTTAAAATCTGAAATTTGTAAAAAAATTCTGGACGTCATTTTTGCATCAATTCGTTAATAATTAAATTCATTTATTTTTGTGATTAATAAAATATGTTCCGAAACAATTAATCGCATTAAATGTGCATCGTTTACTATTAATTGACGTAGTATGCATATTTGAATTTGAACAGTAGCTTTCCTGTAGCAATATTTCTTATTGGCTAAATTAAATTGTACTCATTCTTTCCTTGGGATATTTTTGGCGCATTTTTGATTATTTAATAATTTCATACATATTTTTATGGTATGGTATTGTAATTCATTTTACTGTAATTTAGACTTTACGATGACAGCCGGTGACCATTACTTTAAAATGGTTAAAGAATTGATCTGTGAACAAATGAAAGTATTTGAAGCAGATGGTGGTTGGAAAGTAATGAATGAGAATGCCAAACACTGTACATATGAAGTATGTTATGTTACTGCTAAATATTAAGTCAGTTGTCACGTTCTGAAGTAGTAAACTTTAGTTAACATCTCATATTGTATGTATTTTTCAGCAATTTGTATTTACTCAAATTTTGAATTTCTTTCCTAGTGCTTGTAGATAATCATTAGATCTAAATTGTATGGAAAAAAAAACAACACTCTTTTTTATCGAAAGCCACTCTTTTCCATGCGTATTCAAACTAGCTTGTATAATTCTACTCTTAATTTTATTGTAATAAGTAGTTGAGCATTTTTAGCGTTATTTAGCAGTTGGTGCTGCAGATTGTCAGAATAGTGCAAGTGTGATTGAAGGTGTAATAACTACTCTGATAGCAGTAAAACAAGCAATGCAAAAAAGGATGGAAACTTTAGAAGTTAGGCAATGCCAACGAAGCAGTTTGTTAGAAATGACTAAAGCTGTTAAGAATTCAACAAGCAGAATAAAAAGTTTGATCAAACTTTTAAACTTGTTATAGACTTTTTTGCTTGTGCATTAGTGTTTTGTCATTAATATTAATGCATGTAATATTTAGCCGTTCTCTACTTTTGACAATAAAGTTCCGAATCCGGATATTCTTTTCATTTTCAGACATCAAGATCAGATGCGATAGGAATGTAAATATTAATGATAAACTCGTCGAAGATGACTGCACAAATCATCTTTCAACCGTTTTAATTCGAAATCGGTAAGTTTATGCATCTTTTCCTGCATCTGATCACAATCATTTAATTGACATGTTACACGATATGCGAACTTCACTTTGATGTCTTATGTATTTTAATATTTTTTTATACAGTGATTTATCAGCACCTTATCTACAAGATCAAGAATACATTTCAAAAGACAGTATGGATGACACATTAATCCAAAGTAATTTTAACTCCTATGTTTTTTTGAAATGTTTTATAATTACAAAAAATTATGCTCTTAATAATTTTTTATTTATTAATATCAATTTTATGGAACTTGATGAGTGAATAAAATTGAAATATGAAACAACAGTTTTGAAGCTCCAATTTTTTCGAATGTATTACAGCTGATCAACAATCGCCGAAGATTTCTGTTGGTGAATACTGTAAACCAATAACATCTCTAACAGGTTCATTTACGGTTGATCAGGATGAAGATACCGTAGTATTCGGACCAGTACATCCTTTGGTATTTGAGGATACAGAAACGTCAGAATCCATTTTACGGCCTAAAAGTATTATGGATTTGATAAATGTTTGTTTTTACCGAACCTTTTTAAATGCAATTTTTGATCTCTTCTGTTGTGTCACTAGTTAAACTTTAGTATCCATTTTTATGTTCTTGTAGTATTTCATGATTATTTACTTCGTTTAGTTCAGAGAAATTTTTATTTCATTTAAATTTTCATAATTTTTTGTTTTTAGATTCCTAATGATGAAATTCACAGAAAGACGGAACCTCCAAAACTAAAATCCGAAATTGCGAAGCAGTTGATGGATGAAGTTGAAAATAAAAATGTATTTTCTTGTTTCACTTGTTCTGTTAGTGAAGATCTTGCTTATCTTGAGTTTTAAATTCAGAGGTTTTTATTACATTTGATACAGGAATTAATGCAGGTTGAGATCTTGGAATAACCATAGGTATCAATTTATTGTTGAATTATCGCAAAGTACTTCATGAATTTTAACTTTGCATAATACAAAGATATTTATAAGACGTGTTTCTTATCTAATTTATATTTTAATTAAAGCTTGTAAGAATTTTCAGTTACCGCACCAAGACGCAGCGCCTGAATATAAATCAAGCCTTCCATTAATAAAATCAGAACTTGCTAAACAGTGGATTCGCGAAGTTGCACAAGAATTTCCTAAATGAGTCGAGTAAAATGATCTTATCTTCTGATATGTTGACCTGAAGAGACTTGTGCTGTTTTGAATTTTGTACAATATAATTTTTTATTACCTTTTAGTCAAATTCGTCTGTCACCAGAAGTGTGTCGAAAGAATTGAGAAGAAGTCTATCACATTGTTTGGTTGTTATGACAAACATAAGAGCATTTATTTTGCATGTATTAGATGCTGAAAAATTGGACAAACTTTCGAAGATGCTTTCCTAAAATATAGTGTTGGTGATAGCTTCTGATTTACACATCTTTTTAATAAGTATTTCTGTTTTTGTGACTCATTCTTATCTAAATTCAAGATTTAAGAGTAATGAGAATTTGCGATCTTCGCTCTTTAGAAGATAAACGTCGTTTTTTCTCTGATCAGAAATCTTGTCGTATGTAATTTGCGTAGAACTGGTATACCCGAATTTATTGATTTTTGAGTGTTTCGAAAAAATCAAGATCACAAAAGATTAGAACACAATCAGCTTTTCAATTGAATTAGTACAATTTGCTCGTGATATGTCTACCTGACTGGTCTAGAAATCAAACTTGCATAATCAAAAACTGTAACAAATTAATGTGGAACACGAAAAGTTTAATTTCAGTAATTTAATTTTTCAGAGCACTTAGAATTGTAAAAGATACAAAATACCATTTTGGTATACTATGTACATTGACACTTATTCAAAAAGGAAAAACGAGCAACTACGAAAAATTTGAGATGAAGCAGTTCCGGGCCGTTCTTGCTGATATTTGGCAAAATATATTTTCTGGCACAATCCTTAAAAGGCAAAAATCAGAGGAACTCAGTTTCCGTGGAGTATGCTCTACCACATTTTTGAATACAATTATGAATTTGACTACTTAAACTTCAGTGGATTTATAAACCCTTGAATTAATAAAAGGTCTGTTTTATCTCTTTTATCAGTTACTTCATCAGCAATATTGTCGACAAGAGGAAAAGTATCTCAACCTCATTATCGCAAAGAAAGGTGTTGTTCAGCAATAGTATAAAGATTTATTTATACACAAAATAAGAAGACAGGAATTTCAACAAAGTGATAACTAAAGCGAAAGTACAAAGTATGAGCAACTAGAGTGAAAGAAATAAAATAGCATATCAAAAGTTGTCTCTATCAGCTTCAATATTGTTATGGATAACCGATTTTTCTGAATTTATTGTAGACTGTTTCCAGGTAATTGCCCTCAAAACCATGAGCACAAATTAATGTCCTCGCTTCTTCAGCAGTAACTTCTGCACTCCAGAAACGCATATTTGAGTTATGTTGAACAGGCAGATGCAAAGATTTCGCTAATATTCCAGCATAAACATCATCAAATGAATAAAGCTTTACATACTGTATGGCATAATACATTTCGCGAATAGTCTGTAATGAAAGTAACACAGCACCTGCTGCTATATATGGTGGATAATGATCGTATGGATAAACTGCGAGAGATACCTGCAAAAATGTATGAATATATCTCCACATATTGTATGAAATTGCTTTCAGATTAGCTATGATAAATATATAACGATAGGTTAGAGTTAAATTCACTTCATAAATTAAATGAGGAAGCTTAATAAAGCTTAATAAGCTTCATACTGCAGGTCTACATGTTCACAATTTTCATTCCCTACTTTTGCTACTGATTAATTTATCAGCAAACATAAACAAGAAACTTGAAAGTTACGTACTCGATGCTTATACAGTAGGCTCCTAAATGGCTGTGTATCAAATCTCCAACCCATATAAAGTTGGTCATGTAAGTCATGTTTTTTGATTTCTTCGATCAAATTTCGAACCAAAACCAGATAATCATCATCCACCAAAAATGCAAATGGAACAGTTTGATTGCAATATTGAAACGAGAATTGTATCGATGACAAAAACTAAATGGAAAATATTTCAAAGACATGAAAATAATAATCATACTCACTAGAATTTTCTGACAAAACACCAAAAATATTTATTTCTTTCATAAATATTTCCCAGTATTTTGTTTTTCAGTGATTTTATTCCTCTATGAAATTGAATACAATTTAAAACATCATGAGAACAATATTTTCTCGCTAAAATCTTGAATAACCTTAAGTGTGTTGTTTCGATAAGAGTCAAGATAATCACCCATAAGTATATCATTATAAGAACTGATTTCTTTACTTAACCGTTCATCTTCTTCACTAAAAGTGCTCCGACCCATAACAAACACTGTCCTGATGGTAAATCCTGAATAGTTTGAAAGCGATCCCCAAGTAGCACGTATTGTTTCACGTTTCTAATACAATAAACTTGACAAAACGTTCAAAAAATTAAAATTAAGCCTTCCCTACAGCTTTAAACACATTACTGAGAGCAGAAAGTTATTTTCTCCAAAAATTTTCCTTAGAAATGCAAGAGTTCAGCAACCCTGTGACAGAAAAATTAGAATAAAATAAGCGTAAATGGAAAAAAATACACAATTGAAAATACTTACCACGAAACGCTGAGGGGAAGTTTTCACTACTATAAGCACGAATTTTTTACTGTCACTGAAAACTTCACATACAGGAACGATAAAGGGTTTAATATTGGTCCAATTATTTTCGTATGTATAAATAAATGGCTGACCCGTTAAATCTAACAGTACCTGCAATAAAAGGTGAATATTACGGTTTTCAATTAAATAATATTAAGTAATTAAGTAATAAAGTTCTGAGTGAAAAAGTGAGAGACTGAATGATTAAAGAGCGTATAAGAGGGAATATTTGTAAAGAGCAATATTTTCTCCAATTCTATCCATTTAAAAAAATGTAAACATAAATCAAGTTAATTGCAATATGATTAACCTGTTCTTTAACATTTATAAAAAGTGGCCATTTGAAATTGGAAAATGATTCTTCGAAAATATGATCTGTGCAGCCTAAACCCCAGAAAACAAGAAATAAACAAGTCGAAAAAGTTCCATACTTTCTGATAGTTTTGCTCTTTTTTCTGAGCCATGTTTTAGAGAAATTAAATACAGAGTTCAAGATATCCTGAAAAAAATCATCTCTTTTCTAAAAAAAATAATTACTCTAAAACAGGTTGAAATTGTAGGAAGCGACGAAATGAACTCATTCATACACAAAATCTTTTCTTACTTCTCACAGTTCATCCACAAAACACTTCAGATTTCGCATGCAAAATGTATTGAGATTCTTACCAAAATTGCAATAGTGACATAATCCAATCTCGAAAACAATGTTACCATATTTTTATTAAACTAAGACCGAAAGTTATTCATATTTTATGGTATATCTTGCTCCGAGACCCTTACCGGACATCTGAAAAAAGACCTATTAATAGAAACGAATACCACCATAGTACTGAAAGCACGAAGGACACCGTTCTGTTACTTAGACTGCTCTAAGTAGCACATAGCCAATCTGGAAAGAGAACCTGGTCTATCTGTTATGATTACTTCTTGAAAGTACGCGGAATATAGCACATTTAAATATATTCTTCCCAAAACATTCAACAGGTCCCGGTTAATTTCTAATTCCACAATAAGGCAAACAGTTGTTACAATGATTCTACTTCCAGATACAATAAAATAGACCACAATCTTTCTTTGTACTGAGAAGTAGAACTGAATTCAAATAACGTATGATAAACAAGCCTTAACACATCTATCAACATCTCTAAACGTTTACAATATAGGATTTCTTTGCTGTCTGACAGGCTGTTTGCAACATTGAGTACAAGTTCCTAAATGATTAAAAGACTATATCTATACAACAAAAATTACCTGAACCAGTCATACATACTTCTACTTTTAGATACTTCGCTGCAATTTCCAGAAAATTTTTCAGCTAAAATTCGAAAAATACGATAAAACTCATTACTAATTTGATTGGTTCAACAGTGAACAAGTATAGTACAAAAACACTTTTAGGCGTTTCACATGCTTTATTTCATGAATTGGTATAGACATCAGAAAGTGAGCCTAAATTATACTCAGAAAGGTTTTACACACAACAGACTTAATAATAAAACTTCAATTTAAAAGTAAAAAAAAAGTCAGAAAAAATTGGTTCTAAATCACAAAATGAACTATATAATTACAGAAATCTGATGCACAGCGGTAAAATTGCTAAGAAAATTTAAAATATATTCAATCAGTAATTTTGAAAAGACGAATGTAAAGAGTTGCACACTCACATTCAAAAGATAAACAATGCAGTTAATCAGATTCTGGAAGTTAAAAACGTGGTTGACTATTCTTTGAACATTTCCAGCTTTTTCGACTGATAAGCAGAAGATAAATTATAATGTATTTTTGAACCACGATCATTTTATATTTTCTTAATAATTTTACACCTCTGGATTCTTTACTTCATTAATTAAACTACACAACAGAATATAGAACTACAAACACGAAAAATGGAAACCTCTACATAATAAAATAATTAATAAAGTAAGCACTTAAATCATAAAAGAAAATATTTAATAATACTGCCTGTAAATTCGCTGCAAATTGTTACATAAAAAATTTCGTCGGATAGTTGTTTACCAACTTAGGCGAACTTTCCCGTTTCCAAACTAGACCATCGAAATTTTTTTGACTTGAAAACTAAATTTAAACAGTTGAAAATTTTCACACACTCAAAATTGCAATTACTGATAACACACAATGATGGTTAACAAACAGCAGTAATAAATGAGGTGCCTTAGGAGCAAAAATATAAATTTAATGAAAGTAGCAAACTTAAAAAATAAAAAAGAGGACATTATCGTTGAAGGAGGCCTCACTGCTATATAGAGGAACTCCAATCAATAAATACCCGCAAACAGGTCCAGTGCAGGAAAGAATCAGTTTCCTGTTCGAACTATTTTAGCACTTTATCGATTCTTTGTCAACATCTGCTACTGGCTTTGTAGAAGGAACAGATGTTTTTGGTTGCTGCCAGTTGCGCCAGACAAAGGATTCTGGAAGATGTTTCAGATAAAGAATAGAAAGATAATGAACCAGCAAACTGTTTCTGAAACTTTGATTTTTTATAGCAGTAATAAATGGAGGTACTAAAATATAAATTTAATGAAAGTAGCAAACAAAATGTTCTTTATAATGACATTTTATCTAAACTAATTATTGGAAACACAAATTTTGAATAAGAACTTTTAGATCTCTTACAAATGAACTTTTTCTTTAGCATCACTTTATTATTATTTCATGTGAACACATAGATGCATAAAATATGAATATAAAGAAATAAAGGAACTACCACAACATGAAAAGTGAAGTTAATAACAGAAATTCAGGAAATTTAATTTTTTAATATTCCAGTTTTCATTTTGGAGAATATCTAAGAAAAGAATTAAATTAACCGTTATCCAAAACTTCGACAGAAGAAAGAAACTGTGTCCCATCAAATCCACCTAAAACATATATTTCATTGTCAGGGGTAACTATAGCTTTAACATTAGCACGTGGAGTAGTGAGTGATGGACCCGACCGCCATTCTCCATTGGGACTATCCAAAATCTCCACAGAATTCAACGACTGAGTACCATCATGACCACCAATAACAAATAAACAATCTAAATTATTCTTGAATTAATCGAGCTTTCTTTACAATATTCTGGATAAATCAAATGTAGTGATTCGAATAACCTGATTCTTCATTCTTACAAGCAATGTTTTTAGCCAAAAATAAATTAGTCTTCAGTAGAGTACTTATAATACGAGCTACTTAAAACTGTAAATTCAACGGATTTATAAGCAAACCTTTTACCACGATTACAGCACATCCACGTCTAGCTGTTTTTAAAGGAATTAAATTTAGCCATTTTCCAGTCAATGAATTATATGCTTCTACTGAATCTAAACATTTCCAACCATCACTTCCTCCACACACAACTATTAGATCGTGCCAAGAAGTGCAACCAGCCTATCGAAAGAAGTTAAATATAGTTATATGACTTTAAAAATGATTAGAAGACGATGGAATAAACTATTACAATTGATTTATCAACATGATGAATTGAAAACTACTTGGAAACGAGCTGTCCGTAATGGTGCTATCAAAGACCATTCATCTAATTCAGGAATGTATTTTTCGCATTCATCCAAAACGTTTTGCTCGCAACAACCTCCGATACAATAAATAAATCTATCCAGCGCAGCGCAACATAAATCAAATTTGTTCAGATTTTCGCAGAAAAATTTTTTATATAGCTATATCTACAAGACTCTAACCCACATTAAAAGTAAAAAATGTTCAAAAGTCAAGTAATTAAAACAAACTATTATTTGACTGACTGCTAAATTAGAATACAAATTGTTATTTCTGTTCAGAAATTCTTAAAATGATACTATTTCAAGCGATATGCAATATGTCATATGAAATGAAGTCAAATTTGACTTTTCTCAATGCATGAATTTCAATAATCAAAATGAAAATAACCATTGTGACTGCGTTCTTGCATCAACGGCTTAACAAAAGACCACTTTTTTGTTTCCAAGTCATAGCATTCCACTGTTTTTAAATCGACACTCCCATTACTACCTTGAAGAAACAAATGTTACCTGTTTAAACTAAAAAATATTACATAGTTCACAAAACCTTTCCTATGACCAAAATATTTCGGAGTAGAAATTGAGAAAAAATCCAACAATGATACAATTCAACGCAATCTTCAGTTTAAAAACTGCTTACTTAATATATTAAATTAGCAAGAAAGCACCAGCAACTGCGTAAACTTTGTTTCCCAAGACAGCTGCATCAAAACGACCTCGACACTGCGTCATGTCTGCTAAGCTAGACCAACTACTCTCCAACATGTCATATTCTTCCACTGATTTCAAGCAGGTTCCGCGATCATAGCCTCCTAAAGAGCAAGAAGTTGTTTAGATTAACAAAATATCATTTGCGATCTACAATAACCGTTGTTCAACAATGATTCAATCAAATATCTTAAAATTATAAAAATTTTTACTCAAAAACACAATAGCATATCTATTTTTTTATCTTTATCTATTTATATCCCCATCTTCTCTACATATTTTAAGTATCTTAACAAAAATATGCACTCTTCGTTCTACAAATCTTACCACAAACAATAATTTTTCCGTTGATGAAAACGCCACCAATGGAACAACGTGGACTTTTCATATGTGGAATTGGAATGCGTAAATTGCTAGCTGACGATATAACTCTGTAAACAAATGTACATACTCATTATTTAAATGATTTCTGAGCAACGTTTAGAAAACAACAGGTATAAAATGGATATTTTTCTGCTATATATAAATATTTTTACAAGTCGCAAACACCGAGTTCTTTAGATGCATGATAAACAAGAGTGAAATACAAACTTGGAAAGAGTTTCTTGCTGACCAGTTTGAGAAGTTTTAAGAATATCATCGTCCAGAGAAGTACTCCGTAATTTTATTACTTCCTCCGCTTCTGAAAGCTGGATGCTGAGAGCAACCAGTCGTCCGAGGAAGAAAGCCAATGCAATCCAAAATCCCTCTGAAAATAAAAAGAAAAAATTCTCTAGTAATAATTTCAAATTTAAAAATAGATACAGCTTTATTCCAGTGATGTTGAACACAAGGTCACTGCCTCCATTATATGTCATTTCCTGTGCTGAATATCAAATCAATTATTTGCATCTATTATTTTGGTCAAAATCCGAATAGTAAATTACAAATCTTTAGCAGAAAAATGACGAAAGTGATCAGTTCATAAAAATATTGAGCTTGAGGATTAGTAAAATTGGCTTGCCTGCAGTTTGATGCACAGTGATAAGTTTGAATGATTCATTTTCAGATTCAATGGTTGAACTTAGGGAACAATTACTCTCCGCTGACGATATTTTAGTGTTATTTAAGCGACCTGAAGTGAGATGTACTGCTGTTGCACCAGTGATATGGTTGGCAGGAGTTTGTATATCCAACATTTTACTGAAAACAGTTTACAATATACAATTTTTCTTCTAATAATGAAATCCAATAACAAGAAACATTTTTGAAATAACCTTCCACTATATGTGCGTGGTAAATAGCCACCAGTAAGCTTGTAATCCTGGATTATGTCAGATGCTCCCACGAAACTACGGTCATCCATTCCCGAACAATCAAGAAGTGTAGTATCTTCTCCCATATACAACATATGCGTCTTAAAAACCAATTTTTGGTGAAACTCTAATTCATATATGTTTAAATGAATAATAATTTATCAGAAAGAAGATTTTGCTCCCTTTTTCTTATTTATATTACCTTTCCAATAAGTAGTTCAATCCACTGCTCAGTACGTTCAGTTACATGAGGTAAAGACTGAAAGTACTGAAGCGCGCGGAGTGCGATATCTTCACCACAACAGAGCTGTTCAGTATCTCTAATACTCAAGATCAGACGGACCTGTAAAGTATTAGCTTTAGCAAATTGTCACCAAATTTTAATAAATTTAATATTTGATTAGCAGTTACTTCATACTTTGATAAGCGGTAAATGAGTGAATTCTGGACTTTCATCTACAATGCGCGCAAAATTTTCAGCAATAAAATTGTCAACATGTTCTACAAGAACATCATCGTGAATATTAGCTTGACGCCGAATTCCTAAAAATCTCATAATAAAAGCAATTGAAAGCTTTAAATATCTCAGCTAGATCCATCGATAATGAATTCATAGTATTACCAATGCAATCCATGATATTAAGATTGTTGATAAGGTAATGTGCGCAGGCCTTTGCAACTGGAGCTACTTGAAGAATACAAGCTGTTTTATATAGCTCGCCCACTTTTTTGTTACTTATATCCAAGCTGTAAAGTTTTACTAACAAGATTATTTAGATAAAAATATTCCTATATAGTACAAAAATTGAAGATATTCCAGTAATTTCACGAAAGTTTTTAAATACGATTTAAATAGTAATTCAGAAATTATTCAAAAATCCAAACAAATTAAGAATCAGTGAATTGATTTTGGTACTTTTTCTTATGTGTTTTATTTATCTCTACATTATCTTAAAGAGAAATAACTCATTTTCATTATATCGAAGAAATAAACTCTGTATATTGTACAAATGTAAAGAAACATACTGTGCAGAATATGCGTAATTTACAATCGCTTCAAAACAGTGATAATCTGACTCCGCAAACTCATAATAAGAAAGAGGCTGCGGCATTGTTGGCGAAGCAAGATTAGCTGGAAAAACTGGGGCTGTAGAGCTTGCTGCTGACGTTTTTACTACAGGTCCTTGTTCTGCGATTGCTGTAGGCGAAGGACTTGAGCCTATTGTAAAATTCAATTTATCAAATAATGATGCCATTCAATCTTAGATTTATGCAAATAAATGGGTTTCCAACTTAAATTTCTGGAGATAACAAGCTACAAAAGCCTGTTCAAATTGTAATCACTGAAGATGCTTTTAACTCAAATATAAAAGGCTTTTACTTGAACATCGTCCCCCCATATCGTCTTCTCTTCCAACGAACATATCCATCAACACAGATGAGCAAGCAGCTAGAACGACCTGAATGAATCAAATAATGATTGTAGTGAAAATTTTTTATAAAAATATAAAATCACTGTAATAATAAAAAACAATTACTTCTACAAGTATCTGAAGATAAATGGAATATGACTAACTTTATGTGCAAGAATCTCCTTTTCTTGCACAAAAAGTACAACATCACAAAGCTCGCGATTTCGACGAAAAGTGTTCAAACGATGAAGCAATGTATTCTAAAAACAATTTCATGCTTTTTTTAACTTCAGATATTTTTGAATTTCATAGCAAAAAAAGTTAGGAGGCAAATTTTTAAGGACAGTCAAATATTCATACTAGTCTTTGATATAATTAAGATTATTTTCTTTGAGAGACCTAAAACTTAAACGACAGTAATATTTACAATACTAATAATGCTAAACAAATACTGCTTTAAAATTTGTACACTCTATAATTCTCAATGAGCCATAACACATGAAAAGAGGACTCAACTTACTTGCATAGAATTATCACACATCGTCAAAATAATTTCCTCCTTGAGAACTGAGACGTCTGATTCAAGAGCATCCTCTCCTGCTATTTTCGGCTCCTGAATACGAAAACTTAAGTAAAAATATAGACATAGTAGCAGTTCATAAAGTGATGAGGGGAGAAAATACTCTTGTTTTAAAACATCCTTTTACTTTTCCTTTTTGATTTGATTCCAAAAATTCACAAAAATAAAAAAAATTGTTTAATAAATTAAAACTTTCACAAATTATTGTACCATAAACTCTTCAATTAAACAATTATTGCCAAGTAAAAAAAAACCAAAAATGCTAACCAAATAAAGGTCCTTGTCATCATTTTCTGACAACAAAACTAAGTTATTGTTAGCAGAAGTAAGTGATTTCGTGACCTGCCCAACTTGTAAATTTCTGTCACAATTCTTGGAATTGTTGCAAGCACAAAGCGTTAGCTGCTTTTCCATTTGCAAAACAAAAAAGTGTGGTAATCAAATTCCGTAAAACGACTTCCTTGTTTATAACCCAAAAATAGTAATTTTTTATTGGCAGAATAATAATAACTTAATAAATCATATTTGAACAGATCAAAAAAGCATCAAATATATGAAAATTTCCTTTTGATAAAAAAAAAGTTCGCTAAACAAAAGATAGAATATAATCAAAAAAGCTTTAACACAAATATAAAATAATAAACTACATACAGATAAAAGGTCACAGCGTAATGTTATGTTCTTTTAAAGATAAAACATGCATATTTGAGATATATAATTGCAGTAATAGCACCGCAATAAGTAGTAAAAACTTTAAAGCTTAGAGAAAAGTTAACATATGTTAAGCCTGCACGTTCGGTCAAGCGTAAACAGGCGCAAGGTTTGCAAACTTTGAAAATGAAAAAGTGGTAATACTTAAGTAGAGGAACGGAGGTGGCAAGGTATATAGAGAAGAAGGCGGGAAGGTACGCAGACAAACAGAAAGGTATAAGCAGAAAATTAACGCTAGGGTAAAACTAATTCCTCCCCCGCCCATCTTGCCATGTTTTCTCTAACACGTTATGAACCTAGCAGTGAGCACACGCTTAACACGTTATAAACTTAGCAGTGAGCATACTTTGCTTCTTTTATGGTCCTATACACATTACGTACTCAATTGGAAAGCAGCCAGCGATTCTTTACCTCTTAATTACGAATGCAATACTGAGAAAGGACTGATTACACGAGTATTACGTGTGAAAGTAAAACCGGGTCAAAGGTTATAATCAGAGATGTAGTTGACTGACTGATTAACCATAACATGTATGGTAAAACTGAATGATTAAAATATATGTAAAGTAATCTAATTAACTGAAACTAACTTAGTTTTATTTATTAATTACATTGCTTGTTAGTGAAAGAAAGCATTTGCAGTGCTTTGCACAATTTTTAAGTCTCTTTTATGCTCAATTTTTTAATATTTTTTGTGTATTTTTTGTATAATAAAAGTTTGTTAAGCAAAAAAATAGATAATTTCTTTGTATTTTAGTTTGCTTTAAATTGAAAACCAATTTCAATGCCAAATATTTGCTATTTTATTTCAAATGTCTTTTTTTTTAAAAAAAAAAAAAAAGAAATATCATTTTAGCACATATGCATTTAATTATTCATTTTGAATAATTGCAATTCGATTCAATTTGATAATTATCAACTCTTAACTTTTATACAGGTATTACGAAGTGTTATTACGAAATTGTCTGACCTTCTGACCCTGTTAATTAATTAAAAAGGTTATACGACAGTAATGAATTACTTATTAACAAGAAACTATATAATCAACTCATTAATACAAAAAATCTAATCACATTGTAATTGGTAGTTGCCAGCATAAAATTATCTAATCATTTCGGACTAACAAGAAAAAATAATGCAGTTGTTTGACTGCTTGCAATCAGTTAACATTTTGTTGATGTTTGACTTCTGATCACAAGATTGAAAATAAATCACAGAAGCATAAAAAGAATAGTTCCCGTTGCAATTCAACATAAAACATCGATAGGTTCGATGTGATGTTGTAGCAAATAGTTCCTACCACACACTAATAGCGCTAAAGTAAGCAGAAAGAATCAATGCATTTGAATGATTTCACTTTATTGGGAATGATTAGCGAGCTCAGTTCGGTAATTGAATAGATGGATAGATGGATAGATAGATAGATAGATAGATAGATAGGTAGATAGATAGATAGATAGATAGATAGATAGATGGATAGATACATAGATAAGTAAGTAGATAGATTGACATAACGGTGTGGGATAGAAGACCGAAGGCAAAGGTCGGAGAAGAGGATGTGTAAGAATTTTGCAGCAATAAAATGTATGTATACTGCAATAAGCAGAAATTACAATTCTCTAAGAGTTGGAGAGGTCATATCGAACAATATTTGATCGTTCTTTGACTCAATCAATCAGCGCTAAAGTAAAAATCAGAATACTTTTCTATAACTGCAAAAAAAAGCACTTTGAATTTTTGCCACTAAAAATGACAAATTACGATGAAATAAAATGGAACTGAATAAAAATAACTGTCTTTGTATGTAATCGCTTTTATAGTGTTGTACTAAGTAATGATTATTTTTATAAATAAATTTTTGAAGAAGTGAATTTGCATAGTATTATGATGGAAGGACCTTTGACCTTAGTCAATATTTATATTCGAACTTATTTTATTGCTAATATTTCAAATAGTAAAAGTTAGAAAGCTAAAAATTTTTGCTGCAAAAAATTTTATGTTTAGACTAGAAGTAGATCATTCATTGTATTTAGTTTTCTGTTCATTATAATATACATGTAGAACAACTTTAAAACAGTGTTGCTTTCCTCGTGACCTCGAGATCGATGTAATTTTCTGTGTTGAGAAAAAAAAATAACTAATATTTCTTAAGAGCAAAACAACATTTTCCATTAGAAATGCACAAAAAACATGCCATCTTTCTCTTCTATTACTATTACAATGATTGTTAAGTATGAGGATTCATTCACTATCAACTTTATACTTACTTATCACTGATTAAAACATACAACGAAGATTAAAACAACAGCTAAACTTAATCTCAGAAAGTTAAAATTTATGTATTCATACAAAATTCTAATTACACTGCTAATTACTAGTCTTCTCATGAATATGTACAACCATCTATCTTTAATATGACCTTTGCTTTGATCACTTTTTTTTTTACAATTCATGACCTTTGCATAAACCAAAGAACTGAAACATTTGTTGGATAGCACCTGGGTCACCCAATTTAAATGAAGTTGTCATTGGTTCTAACATATTTTCTCTAGAAGATTTGGGTCCATATCTGAAATTAACTTACATTTAGTTAATCTAATCAAGATAATCTTCAGAAAATACTACAAATTTTTGATATCAATCAAATATGATCACATTTTTCTTTAATGCGCACAACTTTTAATGCAATATTATTATCAACTATAAATAAGTAACCTTTGAAGAGAACGAATTCTTTAATATTTTGTTACCGTGCAAGTTTGATTCTTGACTGGTTGATTCCATTTTTAGTATTATGCTTCATACCAATCGTTAACGAGTCGTCGTCCCGACTAAGTAAAAATGCTGGTCCATCAGTAGTTGTTGTGCTAATATAAGTTTGTTTCTCATCTGATGGTAAAGCTGCTTGTGCTATCGATAATCCATCCTTAACACAAGATTAAAATCATTGCTTCCCATCTTTATAACAAAAAAATACATTTATGCCAACTTAATTACTATAATTACTTGTAAACTCTGTTTTTTTGCTACTCAAAATTTGACAGTAATCATAAAATACGAAATTGTTATTATTTTCATTCAGTTTAACTTCAATAAAAATAAATTACAAGTTTTATTATTTTAAGAAATACATATTTTACATAATTACTGTAAAGATATCATTACAACTGTTATGCTTCGCTTAATTGAATTAGCACTTAGTCTTAAACTCTAAATACTATTTTATTTTTAATTTAAAATTAAACAAAATATACCTGAATATTTTGCAGAAGATCAGAAACTCCACCAAGAATTCCTTGGCTGTTTGCATACTTTAATTTATCAAAATTTTCATCATAAATATCATAGTAATCCATGGCAACATCTTCTTTCTGTGTAGATGAAGTTACCGTAGTTGTGCTTGTTGTTGAGCTGTCTCTACTACTTGCGGTAATAAATGAATTTTCAGTACTCATCGTAGTTTCGGATGTAAATGATTCTGATGACATTTTTTCTGTTACAAAAGCTGCTTTCATGGTTCCGCTGTTGATTAATTTCTAAAACATTAATAAATTGTACCAAACATTATCACAGTAATATCATTCCGTAACTACTAAATTCTTTACTTTACTAGTAAGTTGCACAAAGTAAGTTTAATATTAAGTATTTTTTAAGAATTTAATAAGTTCACGAAATATAAATAAAAATACTAAATTTTATTTATCTCAAAATTTTCAGTACAATTCTTTCAATGTTATTATTTTTATCTATTTAAAATATATAATGAATAATAATTGTGTTAATTCATTAATTCAGTTCTCAAAGCTTTAAATGCAAAGTTTATAATACATTACGTATTTAACTTGTTTTTTACGCACGTATTTAACTCAATTCTTACTTACTCTTGAATTTTTGACGACTTTTGGTTCACTTTCAAATTGTAATAATGGAGCTTTAGGAAATGCATTTATTCGCCTCATATCATGAGAAAACTTTGGATGAAAACTTGCTAAGCGATCTTGCTTTATAAATATCGGTTCAACTACCTTAAATGACCTTTATGCATTTTACAACGGAAATTAATGCAAGCTTATATCTTTGACTACAGATCAGTCTTAATCTTTCAATCAAACCCGTTTTCAAAATTTAATATTTTTATTACCATTTTGATCAAGAAAATTCTTATGAACTCATGTATTTCTGAGACTTACAAATTTCATAAAAAGCAGAAAATTCAATAAAAGTATTTTCTAAAACTAACTACAGTATCGAAACGGTTACGTGTCCATTGCCAGGGAATTTGACGTCTAGCACGTAAAATAGTCCTCTTTTTCGTTATATCATTGTGCATAATATCTACAGGACATATTTGAAACCACCACCGGATATCACTGAATACCAACAAAAAAAACTTACATATAAAAAGCTTACGGTTAATTAAAAAGTAAATTATATTCCATTACAAATTACATTTAATAAAACCATTTTACTGCAACAAAATAATAATTAACTGTAAATATAAGTTCGCCATAAGTTAAAGTTAACAAAATCAAAATAAAAAACTGTGAAAGATAAGAGTAGAAGAGTAATCCATCCATCTATACGTACCCAAAATTGCTTCAAAATTATAGCATCTAATAATATGTTCTTATGTTTGCCTTATTTTCTATTCAAAATTTATTCTTACCTAAAATAAACTTTTTGCTTTTTTTTTTCGAAAAAAAAAGACAATTATATGTAAGCTTGACGAAGAAATGTATTCAAATTAGAAATAAGAAAACTTTCATCAAAAACTAAAATTAATAGACTAACTTGTTTTCAGTTATTGCTTGCCATCGACGAATGACTTGTGCACCTGTTGAATACGTTGAAGAACTACGATGCTCATTGAGGAATTTTGTTTGAATACAGTCTTTCACTCGAATCCTTACGGATTCGCTTGCACAACAAAGTAATTGCCATGATGTGACTGTTCTTGAGTTACTTTCAATTATTTTTACACCAACTGTATACTGTAATTGCATTAAAATAATACTTCTTTAACTACAATTACTTTATCCTGCTAAAATTTCATTAAAACTCATGATTAAAAATTACAATTAATTACTGTTTTTAATTTCGATATTCTGATAATTTACTATATTCAAAATATTTTGTGCAGGGTTATATAGCTATGTGTTATAATAAAATTAAAGTAATAAGTATATAGACATGAAATCATATATTGTATAATTACAAGTAATTTTGAAACATTAGAAAAAATAAATAAAATAGTAATGAATTTATTTTCGCAAAGTAATTGGACATACTAATGAAGTTTCAGAAAAATAAGTGATAATAATTATACATTTTCCACTTGCAGTTCTTTTTCAACAAAAATAATAATAGCTATTTTAATTCTGGAAGTCAAAATAGTCAAAACAAATCAGAAATGAATAGAATTTGGCCTCTCGATAAAATCATTTTCGATAAAATCAGAATTTGCTTATAATTTCCTTCGCAAAAAGTAGTCGTTGTATATGAATGAGTATTAATATCTCAGATGTGGAAAGGTCAACTTTTCCAGCAAAATAATTGTAAACATAAGTGACATTTAAAGCGAAAACATAAAGTAAGTAATCCAATTGTTATTCATATTTACAATCTTTTTTGAATATCAGTAAATGCTGATTTTACATTTATCATTTAAAAAATTCATATTTGAATGCATGTGACATTGCAATAATAAAATTTTGATATCAATATCACTGATATAGAATTAATATTACTCTGAAAATGAGTATTGTTGGATTAATTAATATCACTTTTATCGGTATACGATTATTAATATTACTACCTGTTATAATTATTATCATTTTTTTAATCATTATTAATACTTTATTCTTTTGATTCATCGATTGAAAAATTCATATTTGATCGTATTTTACTTATTACAATATCAATATCTAATATATGTGATCAATTTACCTGATTTATTTCACAACTTAAATATATATCATCCGAATCAATTGAAATGCTCTCCGATAGTTTGCATGATTCATTCACGGCCTTAAAATTTTATTAATTTTATTATTATTATTTTATTATTTTACGTGTAAATTGTGTTGCCATTATTTACGCTCATTATTGTGATTATTAGTTATTAAAATAAATTTTAAGTGATAATGAATAAATTTCAGTATAAAAGTCAATGAAAACAATTATGCAAAAAGGCTTATAAAACGCGCAGTGTGATTGTTTTCAAACGTTGAACACGCAAATTTGTAGTAACGCTCATTAGCAGCAAACGCAGTATGAAATGTCGAGATGTAAAAACCATCAGGACATTGAAAAGTTGTTGTTGAAAAAGCGTTTAATGAATTTATTTTTTGAATAATTAAGCAAAGATTAGTTAATAAATACCAAAATACACTTTGCCTGCAAATTAAATATTAGAGAGGTAATTTATACATCACGTACTTAATTACATCTACAAAAAAAATTTATACAATTTATTTTGATAAATTTTGCAGTCCATTTTTATGCAAATCAATTATATTCAATTAAAAATATATTAATTAAATATAAAAAAGTATGCAGATAAATTCGTTTCTAAATTTATTAAATGATTTTATTGTTAGTTTTTTAGCAGCAAAATATGAAATATAAAATGTGCGAATATTTGGTGTAATTAAAAAATTATTACCTGAATAATATCATTGTAATAGAGGAGGAGATTGAAAAAGTAATTAACAGATGAATAAAGTATAATAATATGACTTTTGATGCTTACAGATGTCTTCATCCGATATTTACTAGCCAATATAATTCCATTTTACAACGAAAAATAAGTATTCATTTATATAATTGTCTTTCTACAAACTTTTTAATTTAAAACAAATTTAATCTGTAATTTTTATAAATTAAAAATTTTCAATATAACTAACATAGCATATGGATTAAACATAATGATTATTAATAACATTATTGTATGTGTAATATATTCATCAATAATATATAATATAAATATGCAAATATATTTAAACAAATTGATTGATTATTAATCAAAATTAAAAAAATGATAAAATTAAAGTAATGTATGAAAGAATTGCAAATAAAATAAAATTGATATATCAAAAACGTAACTAACAAATAGGACAGAGAAGGAATAAAAATTCAAAATTAAGAAAGGATAGTCTGTGATGAAGATGAAAATTATAAGTGAGTAGAATTATAGAAGTGTCACGAATTTCAAATTTCTGACCCTTTCCTAACTTTTGAATCAAACTTTCCAAAGACAGAAATGAGGAAAGAATGATGAAGAGAGAAATAAATACAAGTTGATGATGATGACATTGACCTATGCGTGTATTTGTATTACGACGTTAACACAAAGAATATTCACCTTTTTTCTTGCAAATTAACAAATATAAATTTGATTCAATTCAAAAATTTAATTTCTCAATGAAAATTGAATTTAATTCTCTTTCTTTATTGCCACACAAATGAGATTTAGTTTTAATTTATAAATTGTATTTATAAAATTTGTATGTACAAAAAGTCATCTAATAAAAATTTACTTTTAGCTTAATATGCAAATTTACTTTTCATTCAGAATAATATTGCTTACATTTACATTTAGTTACTTGTAAAAATTTGATTCTAGTTTGTTGCATATTTTTAATAACAGTCTGCAATTCGAGAAAATGTAAGCAAATACTTTGATACTAAACTAGGGTTAAATTTTTAAAAGTAACGACATGTAAATCTAAGCAATATTCTGAATGAAAATAAATTTGCATATTTAGCTAAGAGTAAACGTTTTATTCTCTAATTTCAGGTTTTTGCCGTTCAAAATTGTCTTCTTGTTTTTCGCGCGAAAAATTCAAAAAAATTGCCAAACTGTAATTCTGTATTAAATTAAGGTTTCTACATTGAAGAATAATGGATAAAAGTGAACGACTGCTAACAAAAAGATGATTCAAATTTCTGATTCCATAAAAAGACAAATATTTCTTGAAAAGGGCTTTTTTCTCTTCTGCTCTACTCTTCATTTCTTTTTAAACATCACAGTAAAGCTCAACTTTGTTATGTTTGACCTTTTTTTTAACTTTTGCTCTGACAGAATAGTTGTAATAGCTCGCGCGAAAAACTAATGCAAATAGTAAACTTTGATTTTTCAGTCAGTTTTGCTAAATGTCACTAAAAATCAGTCTAGGAATACTTGTTGAGCTAATTTTTTAAATATCAATTATTAAATCTTGAAATATTTACAGCATATATTTTTTGAGATATTGATAAATATATAAATAAATTATCACATACTACGGACAAATTGAGTAGTGCATTGACTGAGGGGGCGCTGTATACTGCTATGACCTTTGCTAGTTCGATCTCGCACCGAGGGAAATCAAGCCTGTCGCATTCCAGCTCCGCGTTAGCGTTCATTTCAAATAACTGATGCGGCGTTCAATAAATGCGTAAAGTAAAGAGCTGTAGGTCGCAACCGGTGTGGTTTAAAAACTGTGAACCTAACCTTACTTAACACCTGCTACATTTTACTTACGCTGATAAAAAGATAGCTTAATGTATTAAGCTGAAATGACCTTTGCAAATGACTTGATTGTGCAGAATAATTCTAGATTCCAAAGCTACTTTAGGTCTACATATGCAAGTACTTTATAACTTATAGATACTTCCTAGCTCGTAGATAATCTCAAATTCATATGCTGTACTTTTCAGATCAAATCCAGTATTTGTCTTTTTGTCAATGTGCACTTTTTAACTCGCGTAAATAAATTTATCAGTTAAAAAGATCAGTTTCTGTTATTTCAAAAAGATCAGTTTGTGTTATATCCATTAGAGTTAGTTTTGATATTAACTGCAGTATTTTGGGAGTGATCTGCGTCGATGCAATACCATCCATTACAACCAACTTTTTCACATTTCGGTATTCGCCTGAAAATTTTTTGCGATTTCGTTTAACAAAATTATCTATAATATCACTTCTATCAGTTAAAAGTCTGTGAGTTATGCTTTTTTTTATTAAGCAAAAAAAAGTTTTAGTTTTTATTTGCGAAATTTTTTTTGAACTTATTAAAAAAACATAACAAACAAAACAAAACTAATTAATAGAAACAATGAGAAAGTTTCAAACCATTCTGAAGGAATTTGCATATTAAGCAGTACAAATAGCGCAAGTCTTCCAGTAACTGAATTTATCATATTTTCAGGATGAAATATTAGACGTAATCTTATCGTATTCTTATTACAATCTTCAAGTTCGTCTCTAGTATTCTCTTTAATTATTCGATGGCGATTTCTAACCATTAAAAAGTTTTCTGAAAGAAATCTTAAATTATTAATAAAAAAATAAAAGTAAATAAATAAAATGTAAAGGTTAGTTTTTTTATTAAATTATCAATAATATCAGTATTTTTTTTTAATTTAAAATCAATCAAATGCAAAAATTTTATATGAACTCTTTTTTCGAAAATAAATTTTTTCAAATTAAAAAATAAAAAATTGAATAAAATCAAAAAAATTTACCAACAAAATCAGGATAATAATAATAATAAATGTTACGAATAATATTTTGCATCTTGATTTCTCCCCAAGTAACCGATCATAACTAATATAAATACAAAAATGATTTCATTAAACAATTTATTCTTCTTAAAACGATCATATTTATCTCAAGCATTCCCTTCATATATAGTACAGAACTTTTAAATATAATACGACTTTTTTAACCTTACTATCAATTGATTTGCATAAAGATAACAGAGTGATAATAAATAATCCGTGATTATGAATGGATATCAACAGCAGCAATACAATAACATGTACTGATCAATTGTATAATTAAAGATCATTCATCAAAAATTTGCACCAATTGAGAAGAGCACAATTTTGATGTAGTCTAGACTATACTATACTTAGATTATACCTAGTCTAGATCTTAGCACAACTCTTTTAACATTGCAAAGGTACTACAAATACTAAAGTGAATATAGATAGACGCATTTTTCGTCACGTAAAATTCAATCTGTACATAAATTTTCATTGTTTTATGAAAAAGATTTAATAAGTTCAAAAAAGGGGCAAATTTTCAAACGAAATGATAGAAAGTTTCAAGCAAAGAGACAAATCAGTTGCATATTAAGATGATTATAGCATAAGAGGAAATTCTGAAGCAAATTTGGAATAAGCCTGTTCATTTTGAAATTTGTTTTTTGCAGATTTTGATATTTTTAGTGGAAAATGTTTGATGGAAGTAAGAAGGAGGTTGTTAAGAAGGACTTTCACGGAGATAAGCGTGAAAAGAACGAAAAAAATGAGGAGGAGCTCAAATACTTAGATCAGATCAATCATATTTTGACTTATGGGGAAGCAATCAGCGATCGAACAGGTATAGGGACAATGTCTGTATTTGGAATGCATTCTTCATATTCCCTTAAGAATGGTAAGATAATCTTTTATTGCTAACTCTAAATTGATTGATTTTTATAGATTAAATTGAATTAATTATTCACTTGCTATTTCTTTTAACTTCTCTATTAAGATTAATTAATCATTTACATAAATTACAAAAATATGAAATTGTAGTCACATTAGTAAAGATAAAATTGTTTTAAAATACAACAAGTGAACAAATGACTGGATTTCTATGCAGGTACTATTCCTCTGCTAACAACAAAACGCATTTTTTGGAAGGGTGTTGTTGAGGAACTGTTGTGGTTTATTCGAGGAGATACAAATGCAAATAATTTATCTGAGAAAGGTGTTAAAATCTGGAATGCAAATGGTTCTAGACAATTTCTCGACAAACTTGGTTTTACCAATCGAGCAGAAGGAGATTTAGGGCCTGTATATGGGTTTCAGGTAATGTAATTCTCACATATCTTGTTCAGATACTTCAGTGACTAACAAAAAATTAGTGACTATGAATTTTATAATCTATTCAGTACTTTAATTTCCTTCAACTTTATATCTTTTTTGGAACTTATTCATCTTATTTAGTATTTTGTAATGTTTCTGATTCATATTCTATTTTTAATTTTTAACGAAATTGAAGAACATATTTTTTAATTTAAAGTGGCGACATTGTGGTGCAGAATATCAGGGAATGCATTTTGATTACAGCAATCAAGGTATTGACCAATTATCTGAAGTAATCAACTTGATCAAAACAGATCCCTATAGTCGTCGTATTATTCTTAATTCTTGGAATGTAAGAGGTATTACTTTTTAACATTGTTTATAATTTTTATTCTCAGATTTTTTGAAATGCAGCTTATTATACTTCACAGAAAACGAGATTCAGATTTGAAATTAATGGCTTTACCTCCTTGTCATACTCTTGCTCAGTTCTCAGTACGTCATGATGGTCTTTCCTGTCAGTTATATCAACGTTCTGGTGACATGGTATGATTTGCAAAGTTTCATGTTCTCTGTATGCGCTAGATAAAGTAGTTATTTTTAGGGTTTGGGAGTGCCTTTTAATTTGGCGAGCTATGGACTTTTAACGCATATGATCGCTCATGTCTGCGGTTTAAAGGTTAAAATTAGTACTAGATCTTTAATCGCAAAAGTTTCGTCTTAGGAAAAACTACTATAATAGCGTTAATTCAGGCTGCATATTTACATCATGTTTTGGGAGATGCTCACATTTATCTAAATCATGTTCACGCACTGGAAGAACAGGTTGATTTTTAATCGTACAAGTTTTATTTTTTCAGGCCTTTATTTCTGCGATAAGTTTTTTCATTAGTTTCCTTCTTTTTTAGACATTATTGAAAATGTGTACGTTGTTTATTTTTGCAGCTAAAACGGGAACCGAGACCTTTTCCAACTGTTGAGTTTACGGGTGATATAAAGACCATTGATGACTTTACTTCTGACTCAATAATTCTTAAACATTACTATCCATTGCCATCTATTAAAATGAAAATGGCGATATAAGCTTCATTTATCACACATTTACTGCTCAGCAGTCAGATCGCTGAAATTGAAGCAGTAATGTAGTCTGATGGCATTGTTCACTAATTTACACACGTTCAATTTTGGTCATTAACATGAATGTTTATCAGTTTTCTGACAATTATACTGACCTTTACTTTCCATTCGTATTCAAAATCTTTTTTATTGAAATGTTGAACAGTGAACTTGTATAAATGGACGATACAATCATTGAAATCTTAAGTACTTGTTTCTATCTGCTGTTTCTTATTTGTTCTGAGAATAAATTCTTTGAAAAAATTAATATTTTTCAGTGTACAATATAAAAAGTCACCATCTGAAACTTAATTTCATAAACTAAATTTAGTTGACAGTTAGTACAATAATATAATGCTGAAATACCATGTGTGTCTTCGGATTCAAAAAATAGCGATTGAAATAAATGTTTGTAATAGTGAACTATATTTGTACAAAGAGTTCAAAATTTCCTTCAACAAATCTATTATCTAATAATATTGAGTTCAAATTTGAACTCCAAGGAGTGTTAGATATTAATATTCATCACTCAACTTTAAACTATATTCATCTCCTCTACTTCATACGTAGATTTACTTATCAATATGATTTGTGATTGGCACATTTTCCATTTTGCGACGTACTTTTATTTGTTTGCTTATCATTGTTGTGGTCTGAATAGCTTGTATGATTCCAATTTTTTTGCATTAACTTCGATCTAACAGCGACAAATGAGGAAATTTGCTAAATTAGTTCAGAGCAGCATTCTGTGGGATTCCTTTCGAAAAATTTGAAAATTAGGATAGATAAATTTAAAAGTACTGCATATATAGTACTTTCAGAAAATAATGGTCTAGTTTATTTTTGTAAGGACAAGCGGACTGGCTGGTTTAAGCGATGCTATAAGTATGGGATCAGTCATTAAGTTTTGTACTGAAGATCCAACAGAAATCACATTTGTATACGATTGGCCAGTTCAGATTTTCCAACCTGTTAATGGTTTTAATGTTTTTGGTGATACCGAGACGTTTTGTACCAATTACCGTAGTGCTAATCATGAATGGTACCTTCTTCTGTTGTTTTTATTTTTTACTTATAATGAAGCAATTGTCACAAAATTCTATTGCTTTTACATCAATGCAGATGATTTTCACCTTGAAATTACATGAATTATATTTTGATTTAAAATCATGTGAAGTTTTAGTTTTTAAAATAATTTAAAAAAACTTTAGTATATAAAAAAAGCAACTATTTAATTTACTAATTAATTGTAGTAAATATTGTAACTAAAATCTAGTACTATTGTAAATAAATCTAGTATAGTTCATTCTTTGATCAGAAACTACTATTCAGGATGATACATATGTACAGGACAAATTTTGGTTTACCGTCAAGACCGAAAATACATTTATATTTGGAGCAGAGCAGAATGATAACAGCAAACCCATCACCAGTAAAATGCAAATTTTCATTCAAATTACTTGGCGACACATCCTTTTGTGGTCTGAATTTTATGAATAGAAGCATATTTTGTAAAAATTAGATTAAATTCCATCTCATTTATTTTTGATAAACAATAAAGTAATGCATTTTATATAGAAGTTTGAGAAAAAAATCTAAAAAGTTTTAAAATATTTAAAAGTCTTTTTCATGGCATTAAGTAGTTTTTAGCTCAAAGCAAATATTCAAACACTACTTTGATTGATTTAGTTTATAAACAAAATAACCAATAAGTTTATGATTATTTTAGTAAATATTATGGCTGATATTTTGTATTAATATTTAAGTATTTAGTAGTATGACAAGTAACACACAGCAACGCAGAATGTTATAACAGATGTTTTGAGTAAAGAAGACAGAATCATCACAATCAATAGAGCAAGAAGAAATTAAAGGGCAAGAATATTTGTATGATTCATGATAGATTTCAGGAAGTGTCATCGCTGTTCGTTCCCTGACAACATTTTCATCGATGGATAGCTTTCGAGTACCAAGAGATTCACGTTTTGTAGAATTATTGACAGAATGTTTCACAAATCAGATGAATAGTGGTATTTAAATTATCAACAAATAATTGATATATCATTAAAGTTATTAAAGATTAATATAATTAGCAAAAAGTGCAATGACTCTAAGTAAAAATTTCATGAATTGTTTGAAAGACTATCTTTTATTACTAAAATTTACAGTTTAAAAATACATAAAAATTTTTTGTAAAAAATATACAAAATTTTGGAGTACTATCCAGATGAATGTTAACCTTTTAGCACTTTTGTAAAAAATATACAAAATTTTGGAGTACTGTCCAGATGAATGTTAACCTTTTAGCACTTTTGTAAAAAACATACAAAATTTTGGTGTACTACCAAGATGAATGTTAACCTTTTAGCACTTACTTTTAGGAAAAACGGTTTTGATAACGGTCGATCTTCTGTTCAACACGGAATCATTTAATTTAGGCTTTAGCAGTTGGATGAGTATGGTTCCTGCACCACCTGCCGATACTACTAATGACTTTAGATTCAAAGTTCTTTGCAGTGAAGATGCGTTAGTAACTTTTCTTTCTGACAATGAATAAATATATTTTAATTAATAAACTGCTATTCCTGTAAGTTTATTTTTTGAATATGCAAAGAAAAAAAATTACTGTCAGTAAAATGCATATATGATCGTTGTCAGCGTTTATATGAAAATTAAAATTTGAATAATAATTTTGAAATTTTAAATTTTAAAAATTGAAATAATCAAAATTTTGAATTTTTTGAAAATTGAAATTTTAATTTTATATAAGTGACGTATTATATTCGAAGATAATAATAATTCGTAATATTTTATTTGATTTTTTTTCTGTTTGCTATAAATAAGTTTTTTGTTTTATATAAGCTTCTTAAATCAATGTTTTACAATATAAAAAATAATATTTTAATATTTTGTTTCAGTGATTTTACAATACATTGTCGAGATGGAGATTTTAAAATCTCAAAAAGTGCGCTATTTTTGAGCTCTGATTATTTTCGATTTTTATTCACTGCAAGTGATGAAGGACTTATGTCAAATGAACAGTCTGTACCAGATTATAATTTAGAATCAGTGCGAAAGGTAAAAAGCAAAATCAAAATCTGAAATATTAATAACTTTTATCTATTCATGAATATTGACATGATGATTGTTCAACCAGATAGTAAACTAGGCAATGATTGTTTATTTATCATTAGCTATAAGCATAAAATTTCAGGTATTGGTATTTATGATTACAGGAACATTTGAAATGCCAGAAAATTTAACACCTGAACTAGCTCGGGAACTAATCGATATAGCTATGCATTTTAAACCTTTAAATCGAGATGCTCTAAAAAATACTATACATCGAGCACTTTGTGAACTTCTTGTGCAGGTTCGATGTTTGTTTGCTTTTTTTTCTTCACTTTTTCATCAAGTGCTATTATAATCCGTTAGAATACTTACTAGACAAGCTTAATGTTTGACGATAGAATAGAAATTGATTGACTTGACCTTACTTAAGTTCGTAGAGTATTGAAAAAAAATTATTGACAAAGTACTAGACATGAGTCGGCATAGTGCAGTGTTTTCAACGGCACATTATTCAGGATTTTTCAATGCTTGATAAAATCGTTCATTTTCTTGTTTTCGCGCATGAAATGAATTTGTCACAGTTGAAGGCTATGTGCATATCAATTATTGTTTATGAGCATTACAAACGATTCAAACAAGAGTACAATGAAGAGGTGAGGTTTATCAGATTCTGATTAACGATAGCTGTCAAAAAAGTAAAGAATGAGAAAATATATGCTATTGATTCGTGTAATAATTACTACGCATAGGAAAGCTTAATTCTGTTTTATATTAGAAATTGATATGATAAAAATGCTTGACGTAGAATGCACATTTCTCAAGGCAACAGATCCGAATCGTCGAGCGCTTCATGAACGTTTACGTCGAAGTGGCTTTTTACTCACTGTTTCTCCATTATCACGAATTGATACCGTTCGACGACAGTCTATAAAATGTAGACGTATTTTCCGGTATGGTGAAAAAACAACCTTGGAAACATATGACAATAGGCCAGCAAGAAATAATAGTACTATATGGAATGACATTGACTGATAATTTGTTTTTTAGCTAAGTGATGAAAAATTGCATAGAACTGATTTTGCAATAGTTGTTTATATATTAAATTGTATATAAATAAGAACAGATGTAGATATAAAAATAATTATATTAAAAAATAAGTTATTTATAAGAAAAAATAGTTAATAATTGGGCTCAGTACTTTTTTGTTTACTTTTGTTATAATCGATAAAATATTATGGACTTGAGTATTGCTAGGTTAGTTTACATTGCATATAAACTAAGACTGCAATTGCAATTGGATATGTCTACAGCACAAAAAAAAAAAATTTTTTTTAGTAAATAAATACAGTGAAAGGTTGAAAAAGCAGTGGGTGGCCTTGAAGAGAAAAATAGTATTAGGAAAGTATTTGAATTCAAGTCAGGTCAAGTCAAGTCAAGTCGAGTAATTTATTCATTTGAAAAATAAAAGGACTGAATAATGAGGGCTAGAAATTGTATGCAATAGCAAAATTTAAAAAAAAAAAAAAGAAGAGTTGAAATGAGGAAGACTATTTTGAACACATTTTGAAAAAACATTCTGAAAATAAATTTGACTTTCGAAGCATAGAGATGAATGAGCAAATATAAAAAAGCATGTGTTATTTGCATGTATGTTTGAGAATTTCTGCGTGTGCTTTTATCAGTACGAGCAATTTTATCACCATTACTATCACTGCCATCATCATTACTTATCATTGTTATCATTATCATTGTTCATTTTGTTGATTACTTCTATTATTCATCTTTTTTTTTTCTTTCAGTTTCCATTATTTATATTAGATAAATTTTGCAATAGTTTGTGTTGATAAAAAAAAAGGTGAAAGAGTAAATTTGATTTTAAATTTTGATGTATATTAGTAAAAAATGTAATCTTTAATTTGTTAAAAGTACTCTAATATATGCATTTTTTTAATAACTAAAATATTAATTTTTCTAATAACTAAAATATTAAATTGGCCTAATTATTACCTTGAATTTATATACAAAATAACTATTATTTTTGAATAAAATGATTCACTCAATCTTTATTCTGCACAATAAGATAAATAAATATCTTTAGTGCTAAAATTTTGAAAATATTTTTAAATGATATAATGCTTAATAATTTTGCTTCTTATTAAATTTTTAAAATATTTAAAGGTTGTAATCGATAAAGAAACAATTTTAAAAAAAAAGAAAAACGATGATCTTTTTGAAAGAAAATGGCATTAATTTTTTTTTTCTAGCCATCTTTTTGAAATTTTTTTCTAATGAAAAGTGCTGTGTAAGTGAGTATTACCGAATGGTACATTTCTATTCTGTTTCCGATTCTGCACACTTTTTTGCTTCTGTTTGCAATTTTTATGTCAAGTTTGGTGCCAGTTTGCGCATAGCAAAGGACATTTCTCGGTCTGTTTGTCCCTTCTGCACATTCTATTGCTATTAACAACATCATCACCATCATTATTATCGTTATCGTCTATAAATAGATAGATGGATAGATAGATAGGTTGATCGATAGACTGATAGATAGATAGATAGATAGATAGCTGGATAAATTAATGAATATATAGGTAGATAAGTGGATATATGTGGAAATGGCAAAAGCTTTAGCAAGTCTGCCATTTTTGATATAACTCACTTTTTCTCATTTTTACTCTTCACTTGTGATTTTATTTTCACTTACTTATAATTGTTAGCATTGTTAATTGCATTTGCTTTGTACATTTATGAGTAAAACTTATTTTTATTTCATTTCAAATTATTTTTCCAAATTTCATTTCAAGGGACAAAATTCAAGTGATTGAAATTAAATAATTCGATAATAAAATTTTGCTTTGTTATAACTAAACAAACGCATATTCATTTTTTTATTTAAACCAGCAGAAGTTTGAAACTTTAAAATGCAAAAAAATAATTAAAAGTCAATAAATTATACTTAATTAAATGAATAGTAGTAATTGCCGTTCAGAAATGTATCGATGTTTGTAGTATAAATGACATTTGAAATTGTCTATATCAATTTCTGACCGTTCGTTCGCAGTAATGTTAATAAGGAAATTAAATATTAGATAAACTACATGGTTATTTTTCATTTCATGCAAATTGCTAATTTTAATTATGATATCTTTGTAATAATTAAAATGAGATAAATAACGTACTGATAATAGTAATAAGCTAATCTAATTGATTTCATTCAACTTTGAGACATATTTAGATTACTAATTGATGAAGATTTTGCAACACTACACATATCATTACGTCTTGAAGTATTAATTAAGTTGTACTTTTAACTGATCTCAATTTTAATTATTATTTTTTCAAATCAGTAATGTGTGTAATAAGACCTAAAGTAATATTGTTAGACAATTTTCAGGGTTAGAGTAAAGAATATTAGAAGTTTGAATGTATGTTTTTGTTGAATTTTGATCATTTTTAACAGCTGAAGATGGTCTTTTTAGCAATAAAGATAAAATGTACCACACAAGAAGAAAAATTTAAATATTCAGCAGAAGAAATTAGCATAAATTGAAAGATAAAATGGCTGCAAGAAAGAAATGCTTCTGTAAGCTTTTATGTCCATTGCTTACAAGTTATACAAGCTCGCGATGTGTGCTATGTCTAATTTAATCGTACTTTCCTAAAATCTTACAATTTTATTAAATTTTTCTTTTATTCCATGACATTAATAGAAAACATAGCTCATTAATTTGGTTACTTACTGTAATAACTTTCAAGATGTGCATATTCATGTATGTAAATTAACAGACACACATATATCAATCATTATTTAATAAATTTTGTAATTAATATATTGATATTTTTATAACATATTCAACATCATAAAGAACAAATTTGCAGGAGATATTGAGGAAGATTGAATATTGATACTTACAATGATAAAATGATTGGAAATAAAAATTTGATCTTCTCATATTTTGAACAATACTTTTTTTTTACATATAGTTTATTTATTATTTTTCTTTTACAACACTAAGGCACAAGATTGAGAGTCTTTCATGATATCCATTATAAATTTGATTAAAGGATAAAATATAATATTAATTCTGTCTTTTCAAAAATGTCATTTAGAGCAAAATTAGTGTTATAGTATAAAGTAGTAAAGTTTGTAACTTGGAAAACCTTCAAATTAAATACAATGTTAATTGCAAAATTTCAAATTTTATATTAAATTTTCAAATTATTTGGTAGATTGACATAATTTTTGGGTTTATAAAAATGAAACTTAGCAATTCAAAAAATGTTTGTTTCTACTTGAAATGTGTCATCAAAATTATTGCATTTTTTTCCATCGAATTTTAATTAATTCTTAACTTTAGAAGATATGTTCCAAAAATTGCTCAAATTGCAGTATTTAGCTTACATAAAACATGATTATTTCGTTCAAAAGTATAGTTTTTTGAATTTTTTTTTTGAAAAAAAGCGATAAAAATAAAATTCAAATATAATTTTTATTTAAAAGCGTAGAAAAAAGATTTATATCTCTAAATTTGTAAATGATAGATAATTGTTAGAATGGAAATTGGTAGTTGCAACCATTTAGTCATGAATATGCAATTGTAAGCAATGCAACGATAAGTCAAGAAAAAAGTTCACGTTTCTTATTTTCTAAACTCTTCTATTTCAGACCAAAAATTTGATAATTTATTCGCTTTAATTTCTATAATTTTTAAATATAAAATTGGAAATCGATCTTTTAAAAAACACTTTTGAATTATTTAATCGACTTTGCAGGGCGTTGAAAATTGCATTCACAGCATTCTTTCTAATTTCAAGCGGCAAAGATTTTTTGTAATAGTGATGAGGTCAAGCATTCACAAAGTTTGAATTTCTTGATATTTTTAATTGGAAACCAAATTTTGCATTAAAATTTGAGTAAAAAATTATATTGTCTTTAAAACAAACTTTTTGGCATATATGTATGCCAAAAATTCTAATGCTTTTAAAGTTTTTCTCAGCTATAAGCAAAAAAGTGTTGGCATCAAATTTGAATTATTATTGAATTCAAACTATAATTTTTTATATTATTAGTAGTTTTTCAAAACATGTTTGTCACATATTAACTTTATATAAAAAAATGAAAGCAAGAAACGATTTTGAGATTAATAAAATAATTATTTCCTTTCAATCACATAAAAATAATTATCAGAGTTTTATTTAATAAAGTAAAAAAGTTTTAATTTTAAAATATCAGTAAAAGTTAGCAAAATGTTTATGTTAAAAAACGTGATCAAAGTTTTAACATTTTAATGATGAAAATTTGAATGAATTTTTGATACTTGCAAGCATAAACACTTCCGGAAGTTTGATGAGCAGACGTATGCTTCATTTTGCACTTTAAAGTGATGCGAACATTCAATTTAAATGCTATTTAAGTTTGTATAAAATAGAAGTAAAATTTCCGTGAACTTTATTATTTGTATTACATTCATTAGCTATTTGTACTTTGTGATATTCATTGTAATTTTGTTATTGCTAAAGTTCAAATTAATTAGTGAATATGCATTTTTAAAGAATCATTAGTTGAAATTTAAGAAAGCGATGAAAATGTGATGAAAAATAATGGAAAATCGTATGAATGATGGTTGGTTGAAATGTTAAAAATGCTTCAAATTAACAAAACTAAAAATTTGTTAACTAATTTTTGATTATTTCTGAAAACATTTTTGTAGCTTGAATAAAGCATAAATAATCTCGAAAATAATTGAATTACTTCTGCAAATAAAGTTAAAAAAAGTTTTATATCTTCGTTTACTCAAGTAGAATGCTTGGAAGTTGTGCTTATAATTCTGACTTCAAATATGAATTATGAATCCTTCAGTAATTAAGTATAAATTTTCAAGGCACATTTTGAAAGCAATATTTTACTAATTTTAATTCATAAATGCATTATTCTTGTTATGTTTTCTATATGTATAGTACTTTTAAATCAATTCTGCAAATTCGCCATCTAAAAAATTTAAAAAAAATTAAGAAAGTTTGGTAAGCTTATC